GTAATATTTTTAGATATATAAATCAAGTCACTACTTCATCCAAATCTTGCAATTAATTAGTCACTATTTCACTCAGAGTAAAATCCAACTTACTTTCACAACTGTAGTGGTTTAAATACATCTCTGTAAATTTTAGATACTTTTCCCACTAAAGCTCTAAAGGTGTCGTCTTCGGGAAGCTGTGATGGTGATAGAAGGTCGTACTCCTCCAGCAGGCGAAAGATGGACACCTTCCCGTGCAATTTACAACCTTGGAAAATTCGTTGGAGGGAGGATCAGCGATGAGTCGGTTGCAACGCAACAGTAATGAGTTTACAGGATCACACCAAAAGATCGGGTCAAATTTCAATGCCTCTGGACTCAATTTAGTTAACAACAATGAAACGAAATCGATTAGGAGTGAGTTCTGCAGCTGGGACATGAAAGGCAAAGCAGCTGAGAAGTTCTGGGTAAGGTGGTGAGCTAGGCAGACTGTAGCCCAGACCCTCTTCAACTTGACACCAGAAAACAAAGACAACAGATGTGGGTGATTGTTCTCGAAGCCCGAGTGTCAAAGGAAAAAAATAAAGGAGTTCAAACAGCCACTGAAGGACGAAACTGAACGCAGGAGGAGACAGGAGAGCACAGAATTGAAAACAGTGAGGTGCAGTCATTTTTTGTTTTCTGTGCTTGTTGATTGTGTTTAATGTAATAGACAAATTGGAAACCAGTATACAAACTTTTAATGATAAAATTATTATTTTTATAGTAAATATTTCCACAAATGAAGTAAAAATAAGATTTATTCATTTCACATTAAAGTATATATAAATCACGAAATAGTTTTATTCCTTAAGTATTCAAAAAAGTCTGATCATAGCTATAAATTCTATTGTTAAAAAAAAGAGCAAATAGCATTTTTATTCTGCCTATCTAGTGGTTATACAACTAGAAATATTTTTGTGTTCATTCTGCTTCATTTAGTTCCTAGTCAATCAATGTAGCATTAGGTGTTCACATCCCAGGAGTTATGGCGTCAAAGCTACTAATTGTCATCACACCCTATCCTTTACAGCTCATTTGTGTTCTACAAACATCACCCTCCATGAATGGAATATGCAAGTGTATAATCTGTTATATGGGAGCTCTGGTGGCCTAGCGGTAAGAAGCTGTGTTGCAATCCCAAAGGCACAAGGTTTCAGGCCACCAGCTGCTCTACAGAAGGATGGGCAACCCCCTCCCAAGCCACAGGTGCAGCCATTTTTAAAGGCTAGCTGGTCATTGTAAGAAACTGGAGCCACAGCAATGACTGGTGAAAAGGTGCCCCTCCCCCCTTGTTCTCTCACTTTCCCAGGAATCAAGGGAACAACTTCCTTGTTATCCAGGGGGGTAACAGGGTTCCCTGGGCCTGTGCTGAGTCCAGGACTGGGCACCAGGGTGTACACACACACACACACACACACACACACACACACACACAGCTCTGCATCAGAGACTCTCTCCAACAAGATGCGCCATGCCATGCCTGACCTGAAGCTACTTCCTGGCTGGGAGGGGCACCACCTGTGGCTGGAGACCCTACCTCCCACTAGGCACCCTGGTGAATACCCTGCCCAGCACATGCCAGGGTCACTAGTGCAGCAGTGAGCCCTCCGTGGAGTGTATCATCCTTGGGCAGCTAGGGAAGTTTCTTCAGGCCAGCAGAGCATGCCCCTTCTGGCTGGCAAAGACACCATCCCCAGCCAGGCAGACTATCTTTGGTTCTGCACCATTCAACACCCCTCCGACCGGAAGAAGTGCTGTCTGTGGCCCAGCTCACATCTTGGAACATCACCCACGTCTCGGACTGGCACTCAAACTGCAACTTCTGCTGGTCTGGCAGACACACCATCCCTCAGGCCAGACCGCCTGCCTTCGCCTCCCACACCTCTTCCAACTCCTTGCCCATTTCATGGAGCTGGAAGAGGGATAGATGTTAAAAAATGATAGAGAAGAGGAGCCTTTGGTGGGAGGGTGCTGGGCACCTCACCGCGCTCTGGCCCCTGCTGTGGGCAGTGAAGGCAGGAGGTCCGGCCTGAGGGACGGTGTGTCTGCCAATCCAGCAGAAGCTGCAGTTTGGGTGCCAGTCTGAGAAGTGTGTGATGTCTTCGCAATTACTTGCTATGCATCAGAGAGCTGGACAAAGACTAAGGATGATAGAAGAAGAATAAACACCTTCGAGTTGTTGTGCTGGAGAAGTCTTGAACAAACCATGGTCTGCCAAGAAAGCAAATACTTCTGTCTTGGAGAGGATGAAACCAAGTTTCTCCTTGGAGGTTAAGATTTTGAAGCTCCATTTCACATACTTTGAGCACGTGGCCAGGAGAGACCTGTCCTTGGAGAAGGACATCATGCTCGGAAGAGTGGAGGGGCAGTGTGGGAGAGGAAGATCCCGGATGAGATGAACTGATACAGTAATTGGGGTAATGGGGGTTGGTGTGTCAGAATCAGTGAGACTGGCTCAGGACAGGACAGAGTTCAGAACTGCAGTACTAGCTGAGTCTCTACGTGTTGTGGGTGACTCAGCAGCACATAACAACAACAACAACATCACTTTTCCGACCTTGGTTGGCTTGTGGGGTTTTCCTTTAGTTCTTCTGTTTCTCTGTCCACCCTCCACCCCCACCCCTTCTGCCTCCATTCTCTCTCTTTAGCTCCAGCCTTTGCCAATCTTTCCTCTTGCTCCCACACCTTTTCTGCCTTCCTATTTTCATTCTTCTTCCTTTTTTACCTATCTCAGTTTTGTGTTTTCTATTTTCTTTACTGTTCAACTTTAGTTTTGTTTTGGGGGTGGGATTTTTAGCCATTTTGTTCTGTTTCCTGTCGTGCCAGATAAGACAAGATTTCAAGTCTCATCATCGGAGCTCTAGTAGCTTAGTGGTTAAGGGACTGCACCTCCAACCCAAAGGCAGGTAGTTCTAATCTACCAACAACTCCATGGGAGAAAGATGAGCAATCTCTTCCTGTGTTAGCTTCTGAAAACTAGCTGGGGGGTCAGCTCTATGCTGGTTCTGACTCGACAGCAATGAATACACACACACACATTAAAAAAAAAAAATAAAGTCAGCCTTCCGGCAGATCCTAGCCGCTATTTTAATACTGCATGTTGCCCGAGCCTCTTGCCACCCCTCCCACACTCCAGACACCCTTACTTCACTGCTTTTGTTTTTATTCTATAGCACTCCACCTTCTCTTGTTGTTGTTGTTGTTATGTGCCATCGAGTCTATTACACCAGGTAACATTTACTATGTTTCTCTCATAACTCACTCTTCAGCATCCAGTCGGAACTGACTCATAGTTGACCCCTCATCAGGTTTCAGAGAGTGTAAATAACACAGGAGGTGATTGTCCATCTTCATCCCAAACAGACACTGTGAGCTCAGACCTCCAGAGAGATGCCAACTTAGGGTCAGCAGGGTGACCCCTCCAGACCGCGCCACCTGTTTACTGAGCTGGAAAAGCTGCAAGGGCAGGGATTTCTCTCATTATTTTTAACGGCAATTTCTTGTGTGTGTGTGTGTGTGTGTGTGTGTTATTAGGAAGGTGTTTTGTTTTTTATTTTTCTTTTCCCTTTTTTTAAATTGCGATTTTCATGAAAGTTAATGGTAATTCCTAATAAAAGAGCTCTTGGCACCGAGTAAATGCTCACTAATATTTAATTAGTGACTCTATAACCTTATGACTTCTTACCACTGTCCTTTTAAGTTGTTCTCTAAATCCCTGCCTGGTACTGAATCAAAACCAAGACTGTTCTAAAGAATAGAGAGATCACATGCGGTCTCTAGACTCCCCCAGGAACGTTATTAAGTAACAAAAACAGAAAGTGGGAAAGTGGGGGTTTTTCTTTCCCAAGCAGAAGGAATTCTAATCAAATGTCTGTGGTCTCATGACCGCAGAGAAGCCATTAAAACCAACATGCCCACTCATGGCGACGAGATGGAGAGGCCCCAGATGCGGCCGTTTCTGAAGAAGGAGGCTCATGTGGGCCAGTGAAGAATGTATTTTCTTGAATCAAGGTCACAGGAGGACGTCTCAGCTCACTTGCAAAGAGTTCACCTTTCTGAGTAATTTCTGCGTTTTCGTGACTAGAGAAAGGTAATCCAGCTTCTGACACACGAGCGCACACACTGAGGAATGATTACAGCAACGGTGAAAACCCCGCAGCTGGGGAAGCACAGGTACCCCAGTCTTCACCTACCATGTTCAGGCACCTCCCTATCCCCCCAGGAGACATTAGGAGGTGTCACCCGGCTGCCCACTGAGCAACCCTGTGGAGAACAGATTGGAAACTTGCTCTGTCTTGAGCCAACGTCATGGCCTCGAACAAACTCGGGCCTGTTGTTACAATTGTCATCTTGTTGAGGGTCAACCTTGGTTTCCTGTCCCAGCACGAAGTCTTTTTTCAAGGACGGCCCCTCTTGACAATACACTCAGAGTGTGTGAGACAAAGGTTGGCCACCATTGCCTCTAAGGAGAACCGCAGGGTGCAGCGTCACACAGACGGCCCAGACGATGTCATAAACAATCCCTTTATTGGATACCAGGTAGGACGAGGAAGTTTCACAATAGAAGTCCCCTTTCTGAGGCCTCCTTTTTTGACCACCACATTTTCTAATGTTAAGATACAAAACAAATTTTAAAGTGAATTAGGCTTTGCTCACAGCTTTTCATTGATTCCCCCCGCCCCCTCTTTAGCTACACAGTACAAAAAAGATTAAGTGCTGTTACAGGTCAGGTACAAGTTGCTTTTATGTGCTGGAAGATTAAAGTACTTTTCAGGAAAGTTTCCTTTGATTATGGCGATTCGATTCTCTCAAATTCTACCTCACCCAGACGAGCCCGTCACTGGGGGAAATATTCAGCGGGTTAGGTGCGCACCATCTGAGGTTGTGGGCAGTGCCACATGGGTCGTGTGGCCTTGCCTCAACGGGGACCCTGCTTCACCAGCTCTGAAACAGAGGCAGCAGGAAGGAGGGTCCACCTAACCCCCCTCCGGGGTTTGAACGCACACGGCCTCACATTCGTCCTTGGAGTTGAACCGGTTGGCATTCCCCCCACAGCTGCCGTACCAGAACTGCTGGCAAGCCTGCTTCTCCCTGTTGTAGTACCACTTCAGCACATAATTTTGGCAGTGACCTTCCTCTGCACCCAGCAAGCAGAGACCTACAACGAAAAGAATGCAGAGAGAGCTGACCTTCCCCATGAGCAAAGGAGGGAGGCTGGTCATGGAGGCAAAGGGCTGGACGCCACCACCGACTGACGACTGACGTCTGAATCCCTGCCTTGCCATCACTTCGCCCTGGGGCAAGTGACTTAATCTACCTACTATGCCTCAGTCACTACAACCACAAAAAGAACATTTCTTTTAAAAGCCTCCTACATCTTAGAAGATGTCGAATAGCCTATGGTGGAAAGGCCTGTACAATCCTGCCTCTCGTTTGGCACAGTTCCTGGCTTCCAGCAGATGCTCACGGGCCATGGATGGGTGGAGCTCTCCGATAATGAGAACGGCTCACTTGCTTATTACGCTCTTGTCCTCTGTTTCCTGCCATTTCAGTCACTTGTCTAATCCTGAATCTCTCCCACGTTCTAACAACCTGAGCCATTTTGTGTAAGAGCCGTATGTAAGGAGGAGGCAGCCAGTTAGATCTCACAAAGCTAGTGCTAGATCGAACTGTGCACACTCGATTGTGTTCCCTCAGTGCCTGCATTTTGTCACAGAACAAGAAAGTGGGCTATGGTCAGATTTGTATTTTTAAAGTTAGTCTGTAATGGAGGATGACTTGGAAACGTGACTTACTAGAAGCTGCCTTTGGATGTGTTCCTACATTCATTTTCTAAGCTCCATATACACGTTGAAGCGTTTGGGAGGGAATCAGCAGGAAGCCACAACGGGTTATGCTCACAGCGAGTGCCCAACATTTAAAAGGTAATTGCAGCACAGAGTGACGCTAACGTAAGCAGCACGGAGTGGTTGGGAGCATTTTACCGTAGGTGGTGCCTAGGTTGAGTTCTCGTCCCACTTCTGGTTCTGCGGTTGTTTCCTGTTCATTTTGCCCACCGCTGTCTCTGCTCCTTTCATAAACATCCCCATGTGCTCTCTGTGGAGTGACAGGCATTGCCGTGCTCCTGTTCTGCCCTAGAAAAGGTTCTGTCATCTTCCGGACTTCTAGATGACCAGTGAAGGCAGGCGCATCGAGCCAGGGCTTGGGCAACCTGCACAGAAACGATCGGTGTCAGAGCATGACGTTCACCGCCCAGTCCGTGAGGCTGGACCACGGGGCCAGGGAGGGTAAGCGAGCGTGTGAGCAGACCCTGGAGTAAACACCTAGCACTGTCTGCCCGAGGCAAAGGACGTCTGCTGGGCAAGGCAGACGGTCAGAGAAAGAGAAGACCGTCAACAGGATGGACCAGACAGTGACAGCCACAGTGGGCTCAAGCACGTCAGAGACGTGAGGATGCCTCAGGGTAAGTAAGGTTAGATCTAGTCACAAGATTAATGTACGTTCTACATGTTGTGTCATTGTGATTGCCGGCGAGTCGAGCACGACTCATTGCAACTCTATGGGGGGAAAAGGCCTGAAGCCTTTCTGTATCAAAGTTCATGTGGAAATCCAAAGTTCACATGTAAATCCAAAGTTGTATATATAAATATCTGTATTTCTCATGTGGAACTCCAAGCTTTGGAGGGTGTAAGACGGGACAGATGTGGCAGAGATCTGGACGTGGGACTGGAAGGTGAAAATGCTTCACGTTTTGCTTTTCTCCACTTTGTGTGCTTTGTGGTTTTGAACAATGGTCGTGTGTTCTTTTAACTTTAAAAATGCAGAAAGCGAACAGCATATACAGATGAGCTTCTCAGCTCACGTCAAGCTGGTTTCCCGTGACCCCGTTCCAGAGAGACAGTCACCTTCAGGGGCTCAGCCAAGGCATGTCAGCTGTGGCACATGTCTGGGAGCCACTTGAAGGAGTCATCAAGGGACAGTTTCTAGGGGCCATGTGACTCCACTGGCCAGCTGCAAGCTAGATCCAGTGCTTGTCTGCCTGACAGTGCCTTGAGCCAGGTCATCTGTGGGGCTGGCGGGGCCCAGCGTAGGAGAGGCAGCTGAAGAAACGACTTGGGCACACTGTAGACCCACTGCTCATCGCAGGAACCAGGGAAGGCCCAGCTGTCATTTTCATTCAGCGCCATTATGTCAAACAAAAGATTAACAGGCTTGACTTGTTTGTTTGCGCTGACATTCTATTGAGAAAACAAAACAAAATGACTCAACTTCAAAGTGTCAGAACCAAAGGAGAGCTGACCCTCCAGTGGGTTTTCAGAGGCGGTAAATTGCCCAGGAGGAGGCTGTCGTATTTCCCCACAGAGCAGCTGGTGGATTTGAACCTCCAGAGAAGAACTGCTCTTGGATTGTCAGGGCAACTTCCTATGGGCTAGGCCACCAGAGCTCCCTGATATTGCAGTGGGTGTTATAGCTGTTACATGCCATCGAGTCAAGTATGGCAAATAGCAACCCCTGAACAGGTCTGAGCTCTGTCCTGTCCTGCATCAACCTCCTCATCCCGAGTCCATCGCTGCAGACACTGCCTCAGTCCATCTCCTTTTCAGTCTTCCTCTCTTTCACTGACCCTCCACCTTGCCAAGTGTGATGTCTCGCTCCTAACAACGTGTCCAAAACATGAAAGGTGAGACTTCGTCAACTCTGTCCCGAGGAACATTCTGGCTGCGCTTTCTTGAATACAGACTAGTTCGTTCTTCTGGCTGTTCAGGACTCTACCACCACAACCCAGTGCCATGGTGCTTCTCTTGATAGTACTATCTGAAAGGTTTCTTGACTCACAGTCAACACTCTTGGCACCAGCAGGCAGGAAATTAAAAGACTCATTGCAATGGGAAAGTCTGCTGTTAGGGACCTCTCCAAAGTATTGAAGAGCAATGGTGTAACTCTGGAGAATGATACAGGCCAGGGTCTTTGCAATCACTTGTTATGTGTCAGAGAGCTGAACAATGACGAAGGAAGATAGAAGGAGAATTGATTCCTTTGAGCTGTGGTGCTGGAGAAGAGTACTGAATGTACCATGGACTGCTAGGAAAACAAACAGGTTCATCCTAGAGAGGGTTAAACCAGGCTGCTCCTTGGAGGCAAGGTTTCTGAGGCTTTGTGTGACATTTCGCAAGGAGGGACCAGTCCTTGGAGAAGGACGTCATGCTTGGGAGGGTGGAGGGACAGCGCAGGAAAAGAAGACCCTCTATGAGGTGGATTGATTCAGTGACTGGGGTGATCAGGGTGGGTGTGTCGGAGACGGTGAGGTTGGCACAGGATAGAGCAGGGTTTAGGGCTGTTGTCCATAGGGTCGCCATGAGTCTCAGATGACTCAACAGCACATAACAACAACAACAAAATCTAAAAGGTTGCTGTCAGCTACTTGGACAGGCCACCCAGTCACTGTTTGCCCCAGCACTGTTTTCAAAAAAATACTCCTTTGGCTTTCTTGTAGCAGACAGAGCCGCCTGGCTTTCCTGTGGTGGATGGAGCTGTGGGACAAGCTGACCCCTGCCTCGGGCCTACCTCTCAGCCAGTGTGGCATCTCGCAGCAAAGTGTCCCCACGGCTCGGGCCTCCACATTCACTGGAGAGTTCTGGCGGTGGGTACTGGATTGTTCCACCTAAAAATAAGACATTGTATCAGATCAAATAAAGCAAAACAAAATTAGAGAAAGAGAAATAAAACCAAAAAAGCCTAAAGTAAAAGAAAATATAAAAATAGCATACTCATTAAGACCTAAAATGTTAACAAAGAAAGTGAAGTACAAAATACCATGTAATTTCAAATGATATAAAAATAAACCAAAACTAAACAATGAAATCCAGGCTCTATGAAATAAACTCGCAACATAAAAACAAAAAGCTTGTTGTGTTGTTACGTCCGGTGAGTTAGAACAGCTGTTTTCAGGGTCTATAAACCCACGAGAGGGGATGCCTGTCTTTCTCCCTCAGAGCACCTGGTGGGTTCAAACCCCCTGCTTCGGATTGGCAGCGTGCACAGCTCCTCACCTCCAAGCCACCAGCACGCTCCCAAAAATATAACACAAAACAATTAAAAATTAAAATGATGTTTATAAGAACAAGAGAAGTGGTTGTTTTGAAAGTTTCCCCCTTACTAAGCCATTAGCCATTCAATTCCAGTCTGCCCCTCAAGAGATGGAAACCCGAGTTGAGCGGTTTGCTAGCGTTCCTTGTTACCAACAGGCTGTGAATGCAGGGCTGGGTCCAGACTCAACTCTAGTCTTCATGCCTCTCAGGTTAGAGGCACAAGTGCCGTGTGAACACTTCTTCTGTAAGGTGGCCGTCAGAGTCCCCTAGCTCCAGTTAAAGAGCAGGTGTCCTTCAAGGACTGCAGTGGGAGGTCATGGTTGGCAGGAATGTCCAGGATGTCCTCTTGTTACAATGAGGGACCTCCCGTGAAAGATCCTGGCAATTCACTGAAAAGGTATCAGGACAATACATCCATCCCCACCCTTCACCAAAACCCCCACCGCAATCGTGCGAGGGAGACGGAGCCCGCTGCTCGTGGCTTCATGTGGACACGTTCTGACTGGTGCTGAGGTGCCAGAACAGAGGGTGGTAAATGCTGGCCGAGGACACAGTCAGAGCCCTCGCTTCTTAACCTCCACTGTTACCCACCCAGCCAGCTGACTCCGAGTTCTCATCTTTCTCCCTCATTTCCTGATAAATCCTTGAGCCCAGTGACCCCGCTGCCACAGGAGACGCGTCTAGAGAGCAATTCTTTCGTGCACCCTTGTCTCAGGTGCTCTACAGCTAAGGGGCTGCACTGCCAACATGAAGGCACACGGTTCTAATCCACCAGCTGCCCTGTAGGGGAAAGATGGGCAATCTCCTTTCATGGAATTCACTGGCTCTGAAAACCCAGTGGAGGGTCAGACATGGGCCTGTTCCTACATGACAGTGTGTAACGTGGCATAAACACCTCATGTCTCTCAACGTGAGGAGATCCACGGGTGTGTAGCTTCAGCTTCTCCCTGGAGCTTGTCAGAACAGCACAGTCGCATGTCCCTCCAGACCTAACACATCTGCATGGATTTAACAAGAGTCCTCAGAGCCTCCTGCTCTGGTGAGCTTTGACGAGCTCTGTCGTATTCCATGGGAGTTACAGGGAGAATGATGCTCAAACTGCCAACAGCAAAAGACAGTGGCCGTTGGGTCCATTCTGGCCCAGGACGGCACCCACGGAGGGCAGGGTAGGACGTCCAGAGGAGATTTTGAGGCCTAGAGTCCAATCCCTAAGCGGCTCCCCCCTCACTGCTCACCACACAAGCAGCCACGTATGTTAACAGTCTGCATCCAGTGGCCACGGACCAGTGGAAGCCACAGCAACGTGTTTGCTATATGCACTATATAGTCATGTAGTTATGCAAGTAGAAGACATAGTGGTGTATTTGTCATGTGCGCACAGAAGCCGTAGCAATCTCGGAGAGCTCTGGTGGTCTAAGGGTAAGGAGCTGCACTGCTAACCCAAAGGCAGGTAGTTTGGATCCTCCTCGGAGGAAGAAAGATGAGCAATCTCCTCCCTGTAACGGAGTTCGGCCAACAGAGTGTGGTTTATCACAAGTAGGGGAGGTTGCTTGCTGCAAACTACGCAAGCGAGTGGGATGGAGGTGGCTGCACTTCGTCAGAAACTGAGCTTTTGATATTTGATTCTTACATTCCCCTGCATCTCACAGCTTGTGGACACTGCTGGAGGGTCAGTTCCGACCGGACGATGAGTAGAGTTTGCCTTGAGGCACTTTCAAGGCCCCCCCCCCCACCGTGATCTTTCTTGAATGCAGCCACCACAAACCGGGAAGAGACTCTAACCCTGACTTTGGCACGAGAGAAATGCACACGCTCTGGGGAAGGCAGTGGCCTGTCCTCTCTGGTGAGTGAGACACTGAGGCAGGGGGCCCGGCAGCATGGAGGCCGTGACGGGACAAGGGTGTCAGGAAAGTGGCTGTCCCCTAGGCACCCGTTTACTTGCAGGTGGTGCAGCCCCGGTGTCCATTCTTTGAAAGGAGATTGCCCATCTTTCTCCTGTCGGGCAGCTGGTGGATTAGAACCAGGTGCCTTTGTGGTAGCAGTGCAATCCCTTAGCACGAGGCCCCCAGAAACAAGGGTGTATGTGAGAATTTCTCTCAAGCTGAGTCTTTTATGGCAGTGGGGGTCACGGGGTTCAAGGACTTACCAGGAAGTAAGGTGGGACCCATTCACTTGCACAAATGCCAGGCTCTTAGACTTTCTCTCTCCACCTCACCCCATGCACCCCAAGTTTTGGGGGGCACTTACTCTTCAACAGGCTGAAGAAGGCCTGCAGGAACTGCCGTGCATAAGCCAAGTCGAGGTCTGAGCTGCCCTCCAGGCGCACCAAGTGATGCTTTGAAGGGGCACTGGCCACTGTGGCCAGCTCGGCCAGTTCCCGGGGACCCATATCAGGGCCAAGGGCCACCACCAGCAGCGCCACGCCCTGGCACTTGGCCTCCAGCGATGCCATCCTCAGCTGCGCCCGGTCCCAGCTGCTGGTCTCGCTGGCCACAATGATGACAAGGACACGTGCAGGCCGTGACAGGGGGACCCCCAGGAGCACCATCTCCAGCGTCCACTGCAGGGCATAACCCAGAGCTGGGAGTCCACGAGGGGCACTGGCCATGGCCGCATGGACCTCCCGCCGCATGCCAGCACGGTGGCCATAGGAGGTCAAGTTGAAGTGCTCCGTCACTGGAGGCTCCTCTCTGCCGGGCTCAAAGCCAGAGACCGTATGTGTCACCAGGGCCACCCGTGTCCCATGGAGGGAGACGGCTGGCTGCTTGGCCACCTCCAGGTCATCCAGCGTGGCAGCCACAAGGCTCAAGGCGGCACGGTACTCGCGGGAACCCACGTTCTGGGAGCCGTCCACCAGGAAGGCCACGTCCATGTCCACCGCCGGCGGCCCCGGGGTGACCAGCAGGCAGCTGGGGTGGGGCTGGCACGGGTCTGTGAGGAGGAAGGAGGGAGAGGACCGGTCAGCCAACAGAGGTTTCATTTCCACACAGGACACCGCTGCTCAGACCCAGCAGGGCCAGTCCAGCTGAGGGCCACCAGGCCTGCGCCCACACAGCCAGCCTGAGCACTGTAGCCAGATGTGGCCAGATGCCCATCGTGCACAAGAATGGGGACCAGGCCTGCATCCCCTGTCGTACGCATCAGAAAAGGTGGGTTTTCATTCATTCATTATTGCACATTTTCCTTCCTGCCCCCCTCCTCTTCCTGCCCCCGAGTTCACTCTCTTTATATATTCATTCATTACTGCACAATTTCCTCCCTTGTTCAGCCCCCCAGTCCACTTTGCCATGCATCTCTTATTCTAGACTATTGTCATACAAATAAGCCCTGATCAAGTAACCCTTTTAAACAGTTCCTTCCTTCACCTGTTCTAATGCAGTGTTCATTTTTTTTCTACTTTCCTCCAATTGTTTACTATTTTTTAAAGTTCTTTTCCTTTGGAATCCTTTGTTTCTCACAATACCTTTTAAAAACATTATTTGGAGGAAGCTATATGTTGAAATAAGATGTCAAAGGAGTTTGGTGCAAAAAAATATATAAAAAAATGAAATGTCCCTGAGTGAGAGAGTTTGCACACACAGAGACTGACATTTAAAAGTTCTGCAGCAAAAAATAAATTAAAAGAAGTCGTGATTATGGGAAAAAATACAATTCTGCAGTCAAACTTCCTGGCTCAAATCCAGACTCTCCCTCTTACAAGGGAGGTCTCTAATGGCCTAGTGGGTAAAGGAGCTTCACTGTCAACCCAGAAGTACGTAGTTCTAATCCACCAGCTGCTCTGAGGGAGAAAGATGGGCAATCTCCTCCCACGAGATTTACAGCCTCTGAAAGCCCACTGGAGGGGCAGCTATGAATCAATTCAACTCCACAGCTATAAGTTAGTTTTTAAAATTGTGTATTTCTTTTTTTTCTATCCATGCTGTATTTTTTTTTTAATTTTTTACTAGCTTATTTACAAAATTCTAATGCAAATTCAAACAAATTCTTTCAATTTCCCTCACCCCTCCACCCTTCAAATTATACAACCAAGTGATTAACACCCCCCCCCCGTCCCCCTCTATATCCACATCCCTCTGCTTCCAGCCTCTCCCACCCCTCCTGGATCCTTATACTCATTCTACAATAATGGTTTTATACAATATTTATTCTTGTGCGACTGAGCTAGTTCACTCAGCATAATGCTCTCCAGTCTCTCCCAAATTAGGTAATAATTTACAAAAGTATTGCTCCTGCATGCTGCGTAGTATTCCACTGCATTTCAAGCCCATAATTATCTGGGCGCAGGTCTGTCCTGTGGCCTCACTCTGAGGTAAAGGCATTTGTCCAATCAGAAACACTGTCAAGCTTACCATAGCACAGAGTACAGTGGGCCAAGTGCTCCAGGTCCTGCTGTCGCTCTGTCTCCCAGACAAACAGGTGCAATCGGTTGGTCAAATTCATCTAATCCAGACACACACACGTTTCTGATTAATGCTTCAATCCCATGCACGTATCTATGATTTGGCAATTCATGTAATTGCTGTCTAGCTCTCATGTGGAGGTTGGGCCATCACTGGCACTGGGCATATGACCTGCGTGTCCTCCAGCTCCCAGTATGTGTACCTCAGTCACCATGCCAAGTGGGCCTGGGAGTAGAGAGTAAGAAGCAAAATCCTCCCACCCAGGCCACAGTACAGTACACAGACACGGGGCTGGAGAAGTCACGAATCCCCAAGGAGCTCATCTTATCGGGTACAAGCAGTTAGAATGGGAAGAGGTGGCTGTGAAGGTAAAGTCCCTGCAGAATATTCCAGGTCTTTAGAGCCAACCTGAATCACAGCCAGACGGCAAGGATAAGGAATAACCAGAGGAGGTGCTGTGGAGACGGCCAATCTGTGTATCTCCTTTCTTTAACTTTTCTGATGACAAGTATTCAGTAACTGATAGGAAAACTTAAAAGGAAATAAAAAAGAATGATACCAAATGCAGCAGTAGGTACCACGTGACAGACTGGCTGGATGAGAAACACATTTCTTCTTCGTCATAGACACACCGCGAGGCCACATTTCCCAGCCTCCCTGGCAGTTAAGTGGGACCCGTGACCACAATGCAGACAATGGGATGTAGGGGGTAGTGAGGCACGTACAGTACTCCACTTCTTCTGCCCTGGAGGGCCAGGCAGGTGGACATGGATGAATACAGAACATGACTTCAAAGCCCCAGGGCAGGGTGGAGTCCCTCCTGAAGGAGCCTGGGTCCTCCAATGTCTGCATGCCACCAAGCACCCCTCCTGACACACGTGGACCCACATTCACGTGTGACAGACAGCAGAGCAGCTCTTCACTGTATTCAGCCACTGACATTTGGGCTTCAAAGTTAAACTGCTGCAATATCCCACGCTGAAACTATAAATGCTTTACAATTCTTCCTCCCAGACTGGAGCTGTGGTTTGTAAGGAGGTATCTAAGATCGGTCACTGGCCATCTGTCTGTCTACACTCTGTCATATCGCACGGGACCCCACGAGGGTCAGCTTCCCCTCCTTCATCGTCTGTGTGGCCAGGCGCCCCAGACTGCACTGCCCTCTAGATCATGTTACCGACCCCTCAGAGAGGGACCAGGGTGACTGCAGGAAGGACACACGTCCACTCCCTACAGAGCTCTTCAGTCCTGACTCCGTGAGGCTGTAGCACATTCTAAACATCGTCCTTCAGAAGGAAATTATTTGAAGGCTTGGGGGTGGGGGAGGTGGAGAAAACCTTAGGGGGAAACACTTCAGAGGTGCTCAATATTTGTGTATGCTGATACACACTGCAAACATGGACCCAGGACTAGGTCACACAAAGCGTACTGTGTTGTTAAAAGCTGGCAAGCCCACCCACAGCCGGGGATCTGTTCTAGCCCACCTGCCACTGGTGGGGGTGGTTTCTGTTCTCCAGCTCCTCCCGGCCCTGGGAACCCCAGCGCTGTAAGTCTGTACAGGAGGGCTGCACATTGTTCTCCCTTGGAGCAGCGAGTGGATTCAAACCACCAGCCTTGTGGTGAGCAACACAGCACACTACGCACCGCACCACCAAAGCGAGTACAGGAAAACAAACTAAATCCTTGACTGATGTAGAGTCAACCACAGCACCCAGTGAGTTCCGCTTGGCCTCGTGATAAGGAAATGAGCTGTCATCCCAAAGGCATGCAGTTCAGATCCACAAGCCACCGTGTGGGAAGAAGATGGGTAACCAAATCTTGTACAATTCACAGCCTCTGAAAACCCACTGGAGGGTCAGCGACGAGTCAGTCCGACTCAACGGCATCCAACAGCAACAGGTTCCCGAGGCTGTGGATCGTAACAGGAGTCACGACGGACTTCAATCGCCGGAGACTCGCAGCCTTAATATCAGCTGCACAAAGCACGACAGAGGAGGCCCCCAGAGCTCCTCACAACGGCTAACGCGTCCTGAAATGGCCCACTTTCCTAACTAGAAATTCAAACACCAACACTAGCTTTCCAACGGAAACAGCCTGGAAATTGTGCAAGTTCTGTGGATGGCAGAGACACCTTGGCTCCGTGGACGGCAGAGACAGCATAGCTCCGTGGGCTGCAGAGACATCACAGCTCCATGGATGGCAGAGATGGTGTGGCTCTGTGGATGTCAGAGACACTGTGGCTCCGTGGACGGTAGAGATAGCACAGTTCCGTGGATGGCAGAGACACCATGGCTTTGTGGACGGCAGAGACAGCATAGCTCCGTGGATGCAGAGGCAGCACGGCTCCGTGGAAGGCAGAGATGGTGTGGCTCTGTGGGTGTGAGAGACACCGTGGCTCCGGGGACGGCAGAGACGCTGTGGCTCCAACTTCAAAGAGGGCTCCAGAATGAAAGTGAGCCGATTAACAAGCAGCTCTCAGCCACAGCAGAGCGTCTAAGATCCAGCGCTGGATTGTAGGAACATAGCAGAGATTTACCTCCAGGTACCAAAGGGGCTTGATGCATTATTGACATTTAATTTGGCCCTTTTTCTTAAATATTTTTTTTTATTTTAGTATTTTGTGTGCGTATGCTGTTAAATTGTATCTCATTGGTATAGGAGGAGATAGCCCCTCCTTCTCCATCAGAGCATCTGGTGGATTCGAACCGTGTACCTCTTGGATTGCAGTGCAGCTTCCTGCCACTAGGCCACCAGAGCTCCCTTCATCTGGCATTTTTGAGAGAACATGCAGAGCACTCTCTGGCTAAGAAACCAGGAACAGCATTCTGGGCTCGAGAACAGCCTGCCGCAGGCCCAGACACGATCAGTGGGTATCTCTGGGGTCTGCTCAGAACCCCGTTCCCTCTTGGTGGTCATACACCGCCTCCAGTGGACAGTCACATCTGGAACCCAGAGCGCCTTGCCAGATGGGGAGGCTGGCATGGAGAGTGAAAGTCAACACCTGACATTCACGTAGACTCCACGTGATCATCAGGTCTGGGCACTGACCAGCCCAAATGGACCTAATTAATGACCGAAGATTAGGGGAGAGTATGGGCGGGATGTGACAGATGCTTTTACGGGAACTCACACCGAACCGTTTAGAAGACTTCCAGATCAGGACTCAGAACCATGTGCTGGAGGTACGTGGAGGTGGGAATAATGCCAGTCAACAGCCCACCAGTGTCTGCCAGGTGGACCCCAAATCACAGAGCCCCCGTGCATCAGCTAGGACCACTGGGGTTTCACAGGCTGGCTGTGCACACGGAAACCACCAGGGCCTTCTCCCCAGGTGCTCCGAGAGCTGACCACCTTTGTTTAGCAGTCAAGCCTCTCCGATGTTTGCACCAGCCTAGGGCTCCCAGGAACGGCCCTGTAGCCAGTCATGTGCTGCTGAGCTGATTCTGGCTCCTGGGAATCCACATGGCAGCGTGAGCTGCCTCTCAGGCCAGGCTTCCCAGGCTGCAATCTCTGTGGGGGAGTCTTGTGGGCTCTTTTCTCCTGCAGAGCAGCTGGTGGGGTCAAACTATTGACCTTGCAGTTAACAGCCAAGCATTTAACCATCGTGTCACCAGCCCTCCTCAGACTAACACTGTTGTTGTGGTTAAGTGCCGTCAAGTCGACCTTAACTCATGGGATCTAACTCAGCAAATGGAACAACAGATCTGCACCTCCCTCTCTCCGGTGACGCACTCACATCTCTGAGATGTTCCGGGTCATTATTACAGTCACCATGTCGGTCCATCTGGTGAGGGTCTGCCTTTCTCTCTCTCCCCCTCCACCTTTCCCTACATGATATATTTTCCCAAGGGCAGAGCCCTCCTGAAATCACGAATAACACTGTTGTTGTTGTTGTTGTTGTTGTTGTTGTTGTTGTTGTTGTTGTGTGCCCTCACATTGGAAGCCACTCCTAGCGGACCCTCTAAACCATGTGAGAGGAGAATGCCCACGAGCATCCACTGTACCCCCCAAGTTGTGTGAAAACGCTGAACTGGGCCCATTATTTCTAAATTACTGAAGTAGCTGGATTCTGCGAAGAGGAATGTGGGTCAGGACTGGAGGAAGACTCATCAATAACCTGCGTTAAGCAGACGGCACAGCCTGCTTACAGTGAGGAGAACTTGAGGGACTTGTTGAAGAAGAACAAGGAATACATCCTTCTCAATCCAGATTGCATCTCAACGTTAAGAAAACAAACATCTCACCACTGAGCCAACAGGCAACATCATGAAACATGGAGAGAAGATTTAAACCACTAATGATTTCATCTTGTTTGGATCCACAACCAACACCCTTGATACCCGCAGTCAGATCAGGGGATGTATTGTGCTGGGAAGGTCTGCGGTCAGTGAACTCTCCAAATTATTGAAGAACAATGATGTCAGCATGAGGACTAAGGTGCGCCTGATTCAGGTCATTGTCTTCTCAATCACTTGCTGTGCATCTGAGCACTGGACAATGACTAAGGATGACAGAAGAACTGATGTCTTTGCACAGTGGTATTGGATAAGAGTACTGAATATCCCATGGACAGGCAAAACAACAAACAATACGTCTTGGAGAACATGCAGCCAGAGTGCTCCTTAGAGGCAAGGATGATAAACGATCATCTTAGAGAATGTGGGCAGGTTATTCCTTGGAGACGGATATCATGCTTGGGAAGGTGAAGGGACAGCTAAAGGAAAGAAGGCCCTAAGCCACGTGAATTGACACAGTGACTGCTGGACGGGCTGGAGGGCTTCGGAACCATGAGGACGGCACAGGACAGGACAGGGTTCAGAGCTCTTGTTCATGAGGTCACTATCGGTTGCTCTCTGCTCGACAGCACCTAACGACAATAACAACATTTCTAAATCATAAGAAAACAATGAAGCATATTTTAAAAGATGCAGAGTTCGACTGAACTGTTTAAGCTAGCATCTGAGACTCCAAGCAGACGCAAACGTCCCCGTGTTTGTAAAACATCTCACTGCTCTGTTTCAGGAATACTCGGCTCAGCTCAGTGGCCTCGAATGTTGTTTTCCAAGGTTGTGAATCACACCAAGGGTGCCTTCCCCTTCTTTATCCTGTGGAGCCACCGGGGGATTTGAACCTTCAGAGATACACAGCCTTTGGGTTACCAGCTGAGCTCCCCATGAATCCTGCAAACAGAACTCAGTGCAGCTCTGACCAGACAGAGTCCAGAACTGGGCCCCAGCCTTCACTGTGCCAGGTCTGTGTGACCTTGACCAAGGTCTCTCTCACTGTGGGCCTTGGCCGCAGGACCATGGGGTTGGAGCATGAGGGCCGGATCAAGCCCCTCAGCCGCAGGACCACGGGGTTGGAGCATGAGGGCCGGGTCAAGCCCCTCGGCCGCAGGACCATGGGGTTGGAGCGTGAGGGCCAGGTCAAGCCCGCAGAGAGTTCTTGCTGCTCCGACCGGGTCCATCCTCCCTCCCGTGGCCTGTGCTCGCTTCTCTCTCCAGATGCTGTTCTCTCCTCTGCACAGAACAGCGCCTAACGGGGAACTCTTCCATCTGTTCTGCTTGTTGGAACTTGTCCAAATTAACGGAATCTTAATTTTACAGACTTTTATCTTTTTTCAAACTTTTCTTAGGAATCATCATTTTTAAAAAAACATGGTATTTAAACTTTTACTGTTCTTGGAAAATAAACGTGGGAACAAGTACACAGAATTCCGAGAGCAGACAGCAGCTCACGGGGGGGGGGGGGGGGGGGGATGATTCAGCACCGATTTTCTGTGCTTAGTTGCTCTTAGAGACTAATTCCATTGTCAGCACAGTCCCTGTGGCTGATAAGACAGAGAAGGTGATTCCTGAGGAAGCTCGGGAGATAGAGAGGGAGGGAAGCCCCTACGAGGAGAGAGAAAGTCGACCTTGTGGCTTCTACATCGAGCTCCCCTCAGCACTACACAGAAGGAAATCTCAGCCATACAGAGCACTACATACAAGCCGGGGAGCTCTGGTGGCCTAGCGGGCAAGGGCTGCCAACCCAAAGTCGGAAGGTTCAAACCCACCAGCTGCGCTGCAGGAGAAAGATGGGCAGTCTCCTCCCGTGTGATTTACAGCCTCTGGAAACCCACTGGAGGGTCAGCCATGAGTCGGTTCTGACTTGACAGCACACAGCAACAGCATACACAAACCAGAGTGTGGTCTGTAGGGAGGTGATAAGCTAACCCGAACACTGCACTTCTCTGCTGATTCAAATCCAGCACAGGGAGAAAAATGGGCACTCTCTTCTGGTGCTGTGTACAGCCTTGGAAACCCACTAGCGGGACAGCTAGGGGCGGGTTTCTACTCCACATCAGTGTGATCTGGGGAACTTCGAGGCCGTCCACAAGCAGCCCGAGTGGTCGGCCTGAGCCTACAGGCAGTAGCGCCATCTAACCAGCACTATTGATGACGCCTTTACCAACTTCTTTCCTGAATATCCACCTGCAGTTCTTCTGAACTAGCCATATATCCAACAAATGTGACTTCAGAAGAGGGGGCACCATCAAGGCGTGTATGTGAACAGTTCTCTGTGGCTTCGGGACAGGCCTCAGGAGTCCCAGATGAAACCCAAGCTCCTTCCCATTGGGTCGTGTCAATGCCCAGTGATGCAGTGAAATAGAGAACTCCTTAGTACTTTGGAGAGGTCCCTGACAGCAGACTTTCTCCAATGGAATATGTCTCCTGATCTCCCAACTGGTGGTACCAAGGGTATTGACCGTGGATTCAAGTAAGATGAAGTTGTTGACAATTCTAATCTTTTCTTCATCTATCATGATGCTGCCGATTGCTTCAGTGGTGGAGACTTTTGTTTTCTTGATGTTGAGATGCAATCCAAGTCCTCCTGACTTTCAACAATCAATGTTCTGTCAACCGCATAATATAGGTTGTTGATGAGTTTTCCTCTTACCCTGACGCCACATTCTTCTTCATAGAGTCTAGTTTCTTAAATGCTTTGCTCAGCAGACAGACACTTGTGAACTCGGACTCCTATTGGTCATGGGAATTGTAGATCTTGAGCAAATGACTTCATTTCTCTGCATCTTAGATACATCAATGATAAAGCAGGAACAGGATTCTTTGTCACAGCTCGTTGGGTTGTCATGGAGATGAAAAGAGTAAGTAATGAGAATATCTCAGGCCGGTGCTGGCTCACTAAACACAAGCTGTTCTTCTAGGTGGTGTTTCCAGAGAGCAGGTGGTAGACTTTTGATAAGGAAGTTTGAAATCTGGCCCCTGCACAAAAGCTTGAGTTTGCCCTCCAATCCTCTATTCTTTTAAATTTAGATCAGGGATTGAGGTGAGGAAGGGAGTAATGGAGTCAGGCGTTCTAAGATCCAGGCAGGTGAGCAGCTTTTAACGAGACTGGGCACAGAGGGCCAACGCCATAACATGGTGATGAAGGGTTGTGATAATGCAATAAATGGATTTAAAACCTTTTTAACTTGCACCGCAGCCTCCATCTATGTTTAAATCAATGGGGAAGTTCTGGCAACTGTTTATGTAGTTGTTTCAAATTGAACAACAGACATTTTTCCCAGAAGTAGCATGTGGATGCTGGTCTGTAGAGTGCCTTGCCCTGTGACAGAGGCAAAAAGCAAAAGTGCCACAGACAGTCACAAGGAGCCTCTGTCAGAGGACACAGGAGAAATATTATAGGCCACACTGTCCCTCTCCAAGTGGATCTTCCAAGATACAGCACAGGAAAGGGGTGGGCAGGACCACTCTACTCAGTTATAAGAAAATGGGATTTTCTGAAAGGCCCTGAGAATACAGTTGTCATTTTTGGTCCCTCTCCTTAGTAGTGTATCCAGAGGAAAAAAAAAGCTGTTCATCACTTCTGAAAGGAGTCATCTCCTAGCGCCCTGGGGGAAGAGCTCATCCAAGAAGTGGAGAGAAAAAGAGACAAGAATGACTGAACAGGAGACTGACTGTGTCCCACCTGCCACCTTCTCTCCATGAGATGTTACATTCTTCAAAGAGAAGCACGTGGACACAGGTCCAGACCCCGCCTGCTGGGACCCTCTCACACAGAGAGTCACTGACCAACATTTGGTGGGACGGGGACAGGGATGTCATTTTCCCTTCAAGAGTCTCTGAATGATGCATAGATAATATGTTACTTCTAACAGAAAGGTTAACAGTTCAAACCCATCCAGAGGCACCACAGAAGTCCAAGAAAATCTGAAGGAGCACATTTCTACTTTGACATCCACGAGGCCACCGTGGTTCAGAACTGGCTCAAAGGCAACCAGTTCCTGATCATTCCTCCCTCAACACTACTCTTCAAATGTGAGGGAAATGTCTGCCTGAGAAATAGATGGTGGATCTTTCTTCAACCCTGAAAGGAAACCTTGATGACATCTAGTTACAACTCACATTAGAAATGGATGAGATGAGACCAGGAAGATGAAGAGACACCAGGGAAGACCTCTTGTCATCTGGGGAGCCCACGCCAAGCCCACGTCTAATGGAAAGACCTCTTGCCATTCGGCGAACCCAGGCCAAGCCCACATCTAATTTATTTCTCTGTATTCATCCTTGTCAAGTAGAACAAAGAATCACACCCTTGAGAATGGAGAATGGCCAGTTGTGCAGGGAAAAGGGTGTCAGTAAGTGGGGGCCTTAAGAGACCACCCTCTCCCACACACACACTGATTCCTGAGGAATTCTCCCCCGAACAGCCTTCATTCCTAGTGTGCCCCTTGGTAAAAGGTTAAGGAGGGGGGAAGAATTCATTGTCAAGTGGGCCTGTCGCATGGTGACTTTATATATACCAGAGTCAAAAGGTGCTTTGTGGGGGTCCAGTAGCTGATTTAAGAAAAAGGACTCATGCACTTTTCTGGGGGTGGGCTCAAATTGCCAACCTTTTGGGGAGAATTTGGGAGTGTTGGCCATTTGCACTATGCCCATCCTCCCGACCGTCGTGAGCCCCTGCCCACCGTGACCCCAGCTTACCCTGAGGGCCTCCGGGAGGCTGTGGTCCTTCGTGAAGGCGATGACCACAGGCAGGATGCCCAATGAGCTCAGTTCCAACAGGGCTGGGGTCAGGGACGATGGGCTGGAGGTCGGGCCAGCCTCAAAGAACACGGCCACCTTCCTCAGGAGAAGGCCCGAGCGCACACGCTTGAACACGTGTCTCCCCACAAACCTCATGGTGGCCCCGAGATTCCGCTGGCCAGAGGCCTGCTTCAGGGCAAGCCCCCTGACGGCCTGCAGCAGGCCTGGCCGCCCCCTGTGGTCTGAGAAGCGCACCAGGTAGTCTGTTTGGCTGTTGTACGAAACGATGGCCACTCGGGCGCCCGTGGGACAGTTGCTCTCACTTATTTCCATCTTCAGCAGCAGCGACAACAGGACGCGCCTCATCCTTTCAAAGTCCGCCGGGGTGACATCATTCGACATGTCCAAGGCAAACACCACTTCGGTCGGGAACACCGGGCACTTGGAGGCACCTTGACATAATGGACACACGAGCTGTAGGGACTCTGCAGGGCCTCTGAGCAGCCCAAGATCGGGTAAACCAGGGTTACTACTCACCTGCTGAACACGCTGGAAGGAGATCATTTTGGAGAGAAAGAAAGACAACGTTAGTTTATTCAGACAGTGGCACCTTCTCCCTGTGAGCACAACTAAGAAAATCTATCTCTGAGGAATTCCAGCCATAACCGTCGCCAGTGAGCTTCAAGCTCGTAGGACAGAGGCCTCCTGTTCCCGGGTCCGTCTTCCCCTTTCCCTCTGTAGAAATCGCCATTTCTGGCCAGGTATGTGTTGTTGCTGCTGTTAAACACCTTCGAATCAACGAAGACTCCCAGCGACGCCATGAACGACTGGACTCTGACTACCTGACGCCCTAATACTAAGTTTCGTTCATTTGAGTAAGAAACATGCCAGTTATAACTTAAAAACATTACTCCTTCGCCTTTCTTTCCCATTTTTTGTTGACTGGACCATCGACCTGATGGCTGAAATGTCAACACCCATCTTGGACCGTGGGGTGATCTGGGGAAAGGCGCACCCTCCACGGGGAGCCTAGTAGCCCTGGGCTGACCGCTTCCAGGCTGGGTTTTGAGAAATACATTGGTATCATTGTTATTTGAGACTTTAGTTCACACTCAGGGAACTTAAAATTCAATGTACTGAGATTTTTTTAAATTGCACACACGTACTGAACACTAGAGAGAAAGAGAGAGATAAGAGATGATGATAGATAGATAGAGATAGATAGATAGATAGATAGATAGATGATAGATAGATAGATAGATAGATAGATAGATAGATAGATAGATAGATAGATGATAGATAATAGATAGATAATAACATGTGTGACATATCACTCCCTCCCTCCACACAGAGGAAGACCTCCAAGGAGATGGATTGGCGTGGTGACTATAACAATGAGGTCAAAAGTGCTGTAGATAGTGAGGAGGGCTCAGGATAGGGCAAGGTTCAAGTTTGTTGTTCATAGGGTTGTTATGAGACATAAGTGACTCGATGATACATAACAAAAACACATTAGCTACAAACTATATATAAATATATATACCTATATATATAATGTATAAATGTACTTGTGCAGAAATAATGCATTTTTAGAAAAAATATCAGAATGCAAATAATTGGAATTATCCTTAATCCCATCAACAAATTCCGAGGAAGGTCATTTTTCACAGTGACCGCACGTGGCTCTTGTATTTAGCTCTCCAATTGTTTCTCCAGCTAGCACACCTAGGTGTTATCTCTGTGCAAGTATCTTTGCATATCTGTCCAGTTTTATCCCAATATTAAATCACCATGATCATATATTTTCATAAGTTATTGTCCAATTACTCTTCTAAAAGTTTGTACCAATACCACTAGAATTGTGCATTTTTATGTATTTCTCAAATTTGAGTAGGATATTTTTAACCAGTATAATATATCCCCATGTCTCCAAGGTTCACTGTAGCCTTGTCCAGTCACAATAACCAAACTGTGGAGACATCTGAAGAACCTAGCAAGAGACACAAGGATGAACAAAGCATGGGACACAACGGAATATTATTTTGTTATAAACAGAAATGTTTGATGCATGCTACAACATGCGGGAACCTTGAAAATACTATGTTAAGTAAAATAAGCCAGATACAAAAGAAGAGACATTGTAGGATCCCATATGTATGAAATACCCAGAATAAAGAAGTATTTGTGACCCCCAAGGCTGGAGAAGAGAGAATGCCAAGCTATTGTTAGGAGTTATTAAGTTTTGGGTTGAGTGATGACACACATTGGAGAATGAAAAATGGTTATGATTGTACAAGGTGAGTTCTTTGATATCACTGAATCCTACACTTAGGAAATACTGTAAATGGCAAGTATTTTGCATACATATTTTACCACAATCTTTTTATTTTTTCACACATGTTTTTTATTTTCTGGGGCTGTATGTTGCCATCTGGCAGCCGTCTGACAATCAAACAAACAATACAGACATGTTATCTTTAATCAGTAACAGCTAGTTTTGAATTGAGGTGGCTTTAGATAGGATAATACTCTCTTATTCTGTTGTGTGTGTCTCACAATCATTTTTTTAGCAAAGCAAATACAGTAAAAACAGTTCCAATTTCAGAAACATCTCAGATTTCTATTCCTTTTTTTACTGAAATTTTGACACTTATTTTCACCCTTAACCAAAGCATGCTGCAATATACACCCAACCAAATGTACTTTAAGCCAGTTTAAACTCATGGACCAGAAAAAAAAAGTAACATTCACACTGTCCTTCTTTGATATATTAGTAATTTGACTGTACCTATAATTTACTCTTGTTATCACTTTAGTTGAACAAATTTTTAAAAGAGTAATTCTCTGCCATTCTTTACACCTTTTACTTTTCTTTTTAAATTGTGATTTATTTCTTTGTGTAAGTTTATAAAGAACTTGGTTTTCCATTCATTCATTGTAGGGGATAAAGAAAGTACATGACATTGAAACAGACGAGGGAGAGAACTGTATAAAAGGAATATATGATTAGGTTTGATTGGCATGACAAGAGTTCAGAATAAGAGCTGCATAGTAAAGTGGTCTGGGGGTGGAGGGACTGTATAACTATGAAAGAACTTTTTTCCCCAAAGAAAACAGTGAATTGGCGGGGGGGAGAGACATGAAGGAAAATGTACAAAAATGAATGAATAGAAATCCAGATTCCTATACTTTGACTTCTGATGAAGTTGAATGCTTTCATAATTTTACGGCTTTTTGTAATTTTTCTTTTCTAAACCTCCTTTTCCTATCTCTTGCCTGCTTTCAATCACGAAGACCGTTTTCAATTTCGATTAAATAGTTCTGAGACATCTGTAAATAAAAATGGCTGAGTGGCAGCGCTTTTACACATATCACCATGATATAAAGGGGTCAGTTTGCCTGGATTGTGAATATTTTGGCAATTTTTCTGCTCTCCCATGATATCCTAGGGATCATCTATGTAAATGTGAACACAGGGATATGTGTTATCAAGTCAGATACTTCTTTTATAGTGTAGTCAAGTTGATGGTATTCTTTTCCATGTCTGTTAGGGAAAAATATTCCAGGATCTCCCAAACAACAGCTGATAGGAAGGAAGAGAGCCCAGAAAGATTAAAGGAAATACAGGGTGCTTGTGAAAACTCTCCAGCTTTCCAACTAAGAGGCCAACTCACTGTTCCCACTTTATTTCCAGTAAAGGATGCTTTTATTAAAGACATAAATACTCTGGAAAACATTAGATACAGCAAATGAATCATATTATTGGATTGTGATGAAACATTATTTAAAATTTGATGATTCATAATAGTTGTTGTTGTTGTTGTTATGTGCCGTCGAGTCGCTTGTGACTCATAGCGACCCTACGTACAACAGCCCTAAACTCTGCTCTGTCCTGTGCCAATCGTACTGCCTCCAATACACCCATCCTGATTACCCCAGTCACTGAATCAATCCACCTCATAAAGGGCCTTCCCCTCCTGTGCTGTCCCTCCACCCTCCCAAGCATGATGTCCTTCTCCAAAGACCGGTCTCTCCTCACAACATGTCCAAAGTATGTTAGACGGAGCCTCAGAATACTTGCCTCAAAGGAGCTGCCTGGTTTAACCCTTTCCAGGATGAAGCTGTTTGTTTTCCTAGCAGTCCATGGTACTCTCAATACTCTTCTCCAGCACCACAGCTCAAAGGCATCAATTCTCCTTCTATCCTCCTTGGTCATTGTCCAACTCTCTGATGCATAACAAGTGATTGCGAAGACCATGGCCTGTATCAGACGCACCTTAGTCTCCAGAGAGACACCATTGCTCTTCAGTACTTTGAAGAGGCCCCTAACAGCAGACTTTCCCATGTTTAAAATAAATGTAAATCACTGTCATAACAGAAGTCCAGAATGAAGGCTGCATAGTGGAGTGGACTTGGGGGGAGGGTTGTATAACAATGAAAGGATTTTTTTCTTTTACTTTTCAAAGAAAAGAGTGAACTGGGGGAGGGTTGGGCAGGGAGAAAAGTGCAACAATGAATGAACGGAAATCCAAAAATCTCTGTAAATTTTCATTATAATTAATAATAATAATAAAATTTTTTAAATAAATGTAAATCAAACGAGATGTATTTCTGGGAGGGCTACCACTGATCATTCTCATTTAAAGCATGATGTTTTAAAAGGAGAAAACTTCTCACGATAAGAGCCACCAAGCTGCAGGTGCACAATTCATTGCACTTCATTGTATCATCCTGTAGACCTTTTCTGCGTTACTGAGATGGCTAGCTTTGCATCTACTGTATTCTGAGGCCACATTTGACAGGACTGTCTACTTGAGGAGGGTACTGAACATGTTGGTTCAGTAGGAATCTTCCGCCACAGACCACAGCATTTCCTTAACATCATCCAGGGCCACATCAAGCCGTCACACACCCCCCCCCACCCCACCCCCGCCCCACCTCCAGCCACCGCCACACAACTGGCTTCAAACCACTTACGGCAGTTTTCTCGGATGAGGTCGGTAATCTGGCAAGGCTGTTGGGGAAACAGAAAAAGGTGAACTAGGTTTCATTGGAAGCATCTTTTCCTCCTGACCCGAGTGACTTGGAAATGCTGTGACTGTTGTCCTTGCTGCTCTGAAGCTCTTGGTGACAGTGAACACCCAGACATGCAGGAGAAGGTGACTCGATCCAGCAGTTACGTTTCTGGAATTCATGAACACGTCAAACGCTTAAGAGACTGAGATAGAGTATTGTCCATTTTACTGGGCACAGGTGGATAAGTGACCCCATTTTTAAAGCCTCACAAAACAGAAGTCAGGTTTGATTTTGGAGACATTTTTAGGCCCAGGTGTCTCCCCACAGAAGGAAATGCCTTTAGTTCTTAGATCTCTGCATGAACAACTCCTGTAACACATCAGAGTGGCCGTGAGGAACGCCACACACATGCGCGTTCACACACCTGATCCTCAGGTACCCCCACCATCCATGGCCCAACTTATCTCCACTAGTATTTGGGGCTGGGAGATGGAAAACCATCATCATTTTTTCTATCGTTTTCAGGATGTGCATGAGACACAAACACCCATCTGACAACAAATCTTGTTTATAAATGTTGTACAAGTAATTTTTTCATTTTCTTAAAGGATACATTGTAGGAGGACAATAGTCCTTTCATGGTAACTAGTTTTTCCTAGGGAGGCGGCTTAGTTGTAAAGAGTTATGCTGCCAACACAAAGGTAGGCAGTTCGAATCCACCAGCTGCTCCGTGAGAGAAGGATGAGCAGTGTCCTCTCATGCGACTTACACCCTCTGAAAACCTGCTGGAGGGTCAGCTCTGGGTCAATTCCAACTTGACAGCACGTTAACAGCAACAGTAATAGTTACTATTCTAAGATACCCAGATTCCCTGTTGGGTTTGAACTCACATCATACTCATTTTTCATTTTATTTTTGTTGTGACATTTCAGAGTAAAATATGCAAATCACAATATTAAAGATGTATGTGAGACAAGAAATTAAGGAATCTATTAAGGTTAGCAAATTTCTATTATGTGACAGTGAAAGCCTTCGTGTTCTGGAAAGAATAAACACAAACATCAGAATTTTCACCTACCGTCATATCTACCAAACCCTTGGGTCCCTTGGTACCCTGGGGGATAAAATAACACAGAAACTTGGGATTAAAATGTAATTTTGAGATTCAACATATTCTTCAGAGTTAGCAAAAGGCTCTGAGAAGGCTCACCACAGTACACAGTACACAGCCCACAGTCCATAATATACAGTCCACAGCCTACTGCCCACAGCCCACAGTCCACAGTCCACAATATACAACCCACAGCCCACAGCCCACAGTCCACAGTCCACAATATACAGTCCACAGTGCACATTACACAGTCCACAACCCACAGTACACAGTCCACAGCCCACAGTACACAGTACACAGCCCACAGTATACAGTCCACAGCCCACGGCCCACAGTCCACAATACACAGCCCACAGTGCACATTACACAGTCCACAATACACAGCCCACAGTACACAGTATACAGTCCACAGTCCACAATACACAGCCCACAGTGCACATTACACAGTCCACAGCCCACAGCCCACAGTCCACAATATACAGTCCACAGCCCACTGCCCACAGCCCACAGCCCACAATATGCAGTACACAGTACACAGTCCACAGCCCACAGTCCACAATATACAGTCCACAGCCCACAGCCCACAGTCCACAATACACAGCCCACAGGGCACATTACACAGTCCACAGCCCACAGCCCACAGTCCACAGCCCACAGCCCACAGCCCACAGCCCACAGCCCACAGCTCCCAGTACACAGGCCACAGCCCACAGCCCACAGTCCACAGCCCTTCATGCCGGATTGTGAAATTCCATCCCACTCCTTAAGGAAGGAGGCAGAACGCGGAGGTTCTGGATGCTGGGTAAATAATACATGCTTAGAAGACCAACTCATTTGGGAAGCAACTCATAATTTAGCACTAAATTCTGGGAAAAGCCACTCAAATCAAACAGACTGTTTTGTTGTATCAACGTACTGTCAAGCCCCTTGTAACGGCCATTGTACCAACACAACTTGCTGAGGGCTGCCCTTGCTTTCTCTGCCTCTCCACCTTTCCAGCATGCACTCTCTTTTCCAAGGACACACCTGAAGTTTGTGCGATGAAGGCTCACGGACCCTGCCTCTAAGGAGCATTGTGGCTTCACCTCAGCAGAGACAGACTTGTTTGTTAGGCAGTTCGTGGGATATTCAGTCCTCTTCCCGCACATCACAGCTCAAAGATACTGATTCTTCTCCCGTCATCCTTGTTCATTGTCCCACTTTCAGATGCACACGGAGCAAATGAAAATGCTGTGGTTTGGATCAGGTGCACCTTAATCTTTAAATGGATAGCCTTGCTCTTTAGCTCTTTGGAGAGGTCACTGACAACACATTTTCCCAATGCAACATGTCTTTCGATTTCTTGACTGCTGCTATCATGGATGCTAATTGTGGATCCAAGTAAAGTGAAATCTTTATCAACATCAATCTGTTCTCTGTCTATCACAATGTTGTCTTTTACTGGTGGGAGTTTTTGTTTTCTTGACGTTGAGATGCAATCCAGACTGAAAGCTGTGGCCTTTGAGATTCTGAAGTGTTCACAGTCCTCCTCACTCTGGGTAAGCAAGGTTGTGTCACCTGCGTAACTCAGGTGATTGATGAACCTGCTTCCAATTCTGCTTGGAGCTCCTTAACTGCAGTCACTCGGGAAGTCTGAAGATCTTGTCTAGCTTGTGTTGTTGTTAGCTCTTGTTGAGTTGATTGATTAATGCAGGGTCAAAATGAAATGGTACCTGGTGCTTCATCAACTTCATAATCACTGACATATCTGAGCCCATAGTCTTTGTCATCCTGGTCACCTTTGCCAGGGAAAGTGTCTCTCATTTTTTTGCTGGCCCATCATTTCACCAACATGATGTACTTTTCCAGGGATTGGTTTCTCCTGGCGACTGGTCTGATGTAAGCAAGACAAGTCTCACCGTCTTCACTGCTAAGGAACATTCTAGCTGTATTTCCTCCAACAGGTATTTGTTTTGTTTTGCTTTGCTTTGCTTTGCTTTGCTTTGCTTTGCTTTGCTTTGCTTTGCTTTGTTTTGTTTTGGTTTGTTTTGTTTTTCCAGCATCTCACAAAACACATAAACTCATGGTGGTTGAGTTGGAACCAACTCCTAACTGTTCCTCCAGTGGGTCACCCACAGCTGTCCAACTGCAAGGATACTGTCCATCTCCCTCCCAAGGGGCAGCTGGTGGATTTAAGCCACCAGAGCGAGGCCACCGTTGGGTTAGCCTACCGGCTTGCTGCAGACTAGGCCCCCAGTCAGTGCTCTTCCCCAACATGACAGCTCAATATTTCAACTGTCCTTTAACCTTCCTGTTCGGTGTCCAGCTTTCTCTGATGGTGCCGTCTGTGATGAGCTGTGCTGTGGACCCAAAGGCTGCGCATCTCTGGGGCAGCTTTGAGGGAAGAAGACGGGCGGTCTCCTTTCACTACAGTTTACAACCCAGTGGATGGCCCTCTACAACTCTGAACTTACTTCACCACAGTGGGTTTGAGGGATTTTGTTGTGAGAAGGGGTTCCTGTTATGTTTTGTTTCTTCTTTTAGCTTTAACACATATATGAGGCAAATGGGGGGGGGGAAGCCCATGGCTTAGCCACAAAGGTGACATCTTTGTTTTTTAATGCTTCAAGTTATGTTAAGTTGTAGCAAGTGACCATCAGCAGGTCACTGTAATCTCAGGCTTTGTCCTCTCCTCTCTCAAATGTCCTCTCTCTAAGGTGTTGGATTCTATGCCTTAGTTCAGCCCTCTAATAAACCCTAGAAGGCAGTGAACTACAGAGCCCACCTCGGGGCAGACACCTTGTGCCAGCCTTGTGGACTCACAGTCTTTTTCCAAGGGTTGCACCTCCTGACAACATGCTCACAGTACGTGAGGTGAAGTTTCACCATCTTTGCCTAAAAGGAAAAGGCCTAAGCACAGAAGAGACCAGCAGAAGTTAGTGGCTCCTTTCATATCAAACGTCCTTACAGAGAATCAAAAAGTATTGTTGAGCTTCCAACACTGTGAGTTCAGTAAGAATATTTAAATGTCACATTTTATTCGAATTTTCCTCTGAGTTTTGCGTAAACGGTGCTGTTCATCTTGTTTATTTCTATAAAGCCATCATCTGGTGAGTTTCACACATTCTTTTATGTGTTTATATAGGTTCACAAATCTCTAGCCACTCCAACCAGTATCTTCCTTGTCTTGAAATAAAAAAAAATTAAAAAAAACATATACTGCATAACGATACTGTGTAAGGGCTTGAGGCTAATGTTGTCCAAAGTCAATTTAATCCAATTCCCATACAGGCCCTGCATTTGGTTCTGTTTAAATCCAGATAGAACCTACGTTTCCTAATGCTCCTATTAACAACCACCAAGTATAACAAGGTGTTTCTTGGAAGCAAAGATGTTAGAACTTCATCTCACACATTCTGGGCATGTTTCAAGAGTTACTTAGAAAAAGTGTTCTTTGAGAGAGCTATTATGCTTGGGAAAATAGAGGGCCTGTGGGAGAGAGGAAGACCACCAACAAGATGGGTTGGCATGGCGACTGACAGTGAACTTGAGCAGAGTAGCATTTATAAGATTGTTCAGGAGAGGGTAAGTTTTCAACCTGCTGTTTGTTCATAGGGTCACTATGAGGTGGCGTCAGTTAGACTGCACCAAACAACAACAGTATAACTAGAGATGTCTCTTACCAAATCTCTCAGCATTTTTACATAAAGGTTGAAAAGTAGAAAGCAGAAGGGCATATGTTACCATTTGTCCCGGTGGACCTTGTTCTCCCGGGCTTCCAGCAAATCCAGAAAGGCCAGCATTCCCCTAAAAATTATCAAACCAAAGTCAAGAGCTTCCACCTTGAGACTCCAAACTGTCATTTCTTAGAGATCCAGTGAATTGGTTATAGACTGTTAGTGCCTGAATCATGTATCAGTGGAGTGAGACATGGAGAATAGAAAGAAAAGTGGGTCTCTTTGTGGGACCCCTCCACCACCCATATTCCTTCCAATATAACTATGCCCACTGTGTCTGTGTGTGTGTGTGTGTGTGTGAGAGAGAGAGAGAGAGAGAGAGAACATGAGTACATAGACAGTTCCCAACAGAATCCTAAGGGGTCAGCCTCAAGACTGAATAATAAGCAGAATCCAGGAGGTCTCCTCTGAGGGCGCCTGGCACTAGAAGAAGATGACCCACCATCTTTCAGTCTTCACAGTCTCAGGAGAATCACATGCGAGCCAGGAACTCACTGCTCATTTTACAGATAATCCCAAATAGATTCTCTGGAGTTAGCTGAGTAGGGCATTAGTCATTAATCTAAGGTCCAGCTAGCAGCAAACCATGCTAGAAATAGATAAAATTTCCCTTTATGTCCCTGATAATATATAAAAATATTAATTCTCTATTACCTGTAAAAATGGAAAGCAGGAGTGCAATCCACTTCCTAAACCACAAGCCTATGGAAACTCCATGAACTTGGAGAAATGACGATAGTTATGAAAAGGTCTTTTGTTCATAGAGTCACTATGAGTCATGCTCGACTCAACAGCAATCAACAGCAACCTGTAAAATATACCTTCCCCCCCCCTTTTTTTCTTTACTTTCTACTAGTCTGTGTTCTCTGCCCAAAGGCTTTGATCTCGCCTGTCTCTTGGCTGAACACCCACTGGGTTCGATTTTTACGGAATTCTTGTCCAGAACAGATGCCAGTGACTGTGATTCTTTAAGACTGACTCTTCAGGACCTGTTGTTGTTGTTCTGTGCCGTCGAGTTGCTTGCAACTCATAGCGACCCTATGTACAACAGTCCTAAACCCTGCTCTATCCTGTGCCAATCGCACTGTCTCCGACACCCTCATCCCGATTACCCCAGTCACTGAATCAATCCACCTCATATGGGCCTTCCCCTCCTGCGCCGTCCCTCCACCCTCCCAAGCATGATGTCCCTCTCCAAGGACCTGTCTCTCCTCACAACATGTCCAAAGTACATTAGACGGAGCCTCAGAATCCTAAAGGAATGACTTTTCAGTTCTAGACTCTGTAAAACGCAAGTCTATCCCAATGGCAGCCACGGTCTTGAGAGGTTAGTCTGCAAATAGCTAAGAGAAAGTGAGAGCACAGAAGCCTTTTAAAGAAGCATCTCTATTTGTTCTACAGCTGAAATAATATTCTGTCAAGTGCGTACAGAGTTGCTCTATGCTATTTTTCTAAAAGATTGATGTAACATAATGGAAACGCAGAATTAGACTTCCTGTTGCTATAATTCAGGGACCTGCACATCACTTGAAAGACAAAGGTTCATGTGCTTGAGTAGAGGTTAGAGTAGCTAAGGAGGGTGTGGCCATGCCCTTCGGAGGGCCTGGCTTCCTGCTGAGAAGTCCATTTACCCCATGGAAATATGCGCCTGTGTGTAGCAGATTGTGATGTGGCCTCTGTGATGGATGGGAATTTCATTCTTACCCTCTTCCCTCTGATTCCCTTTGCCCCTTTCTTTCCTTGTTCACCCGGGTCACCATCTTCTCCCTTAATAGAAACAAAGGCAGAGTTTTGAATGTTAAGAAAAATAAGTACAAGTAAGTGATAAATTCTGCAAACTAGCAGGCAGGGTCCAAAAAATGCTTTCTTACTTGTGTGCCAGGGTAGCCAGGAAATCCAAGTTTTCCCTGCGTTCAAAATGAGATGAGATATTACTTCATATCCTTGACATTCTTCGGGAGGAAGGAAGAAACTACAACCTTTCAGAAACAGATTCAAAGCAGGTGCCAGAAAACACATCTACAACCCTGAGTAAAGACATGGCAAGATCTCATTGTTCTGAAGAGACAGTTCTGGCTGTCATGTGGACAAATTAACTACATGGGACAAGGTCAAAAGCATGGAAACCAGGTGTCTCTTGTAGTGATCCAAGAGAAAAATCCTGTTGGCTTGGCCCAGAGGGTGGTAATGGTGATGGTGAGAAATGAAGAAATGTGTTGAATATACTTTGAAAATAATATCTCCTGAATTCCCTGATAGATTACATATAGTACACGCATTATATAAGGGGCATCAGAGACGGCTGCTAGTATCAATCCTGAAAGATTCTCAAGACGGGGGGTGTGGAGGGGCCAGACTAGAGGAGGAGCAGGTGGTCAGAGGAATCAAGTATGATGGACTGGATTATATTGTTTGTTGTTGTTTGGTGCCTTGAAGTCAGGTACAACCAGTAGCAACTCTATGAATAGCATATCTGAGCCATGCCCAATATTGTACCATTCTCACCATCTCTGACACATTTGAGCCCATTTCTGCAATCACGGTGGTGTCAGTCCATCTGGTTGAGGGTCTTCCTCTCCTTTGCTGACTCTCCGCCTTTCCAAGCAAGATGTCAATCTCCAAAGAATGAATAGCCTCTCCTAGCAACATGCCCAAAATATGTGAGACATCTCTGTCATCTTTTCTTCCAAGGAGCACTCTGGATGCACTTTCTCCAAAATACATCTCTTTGTTATTTTGGCAACCATGGCATGTTCAGTACTCTTCTCTCATACCACAGCTCAAAGGCATCAATTCTTCTGTCATCCATATTCAGTTTCCAGCTTTCAGATGCATAATAAGTTATTGAAAAGACATAGCCTGAATCAGGTGCACCTTAGTCTTCAAACTAACATCACTGCTTCCCAGTAATTTGGAGACATCCCTGACTGCAGACTTTCCTGATGCAATATACCTCCTGATCTCCTGGCTTCTGGGGCCAAGAATATTGATTGTGGACTCAAGTAAGATGAAGTCGTTGACAGTTTCAATCTTTTCCCCACTGTCGTGATGTCGTCTCTATCAATCGGTCCAGTGGTGAGAATTTGTTTTCTTGGTGTTGAGATGCAATTCATACTGCAAACTCTTCATAGATGCAAACTCTTCAAATTGCCCCCACTTTCATCAAGCAAGATTGTGTCATCTGCATAATGTTCTTGATGAGTCTTTCTCCAGTCCTGATGCCACGTTGTTCATACAGTCAAGCTTCTCAAATAATTTGCTCATCTTACAGCTTAAATAGGTATGGAGAGAGGCACAACTATGATAAACGCTTTTCTTAATTTTAAACCACGTAGTGTTCTATTGCTTTGTTCACACAATGGTCTCCTGTTCTAGGTATCAGTTTCACAGGAGCACAGTTAAGTGTTCTGGGATTCCCCTTTTTTTCAATCTTAGCTATAATGGTGTTACGATCCACAAAGTCAAATGGTTTTGCAGAGTCAATAAAGCAAAGTTAGGCATTCTCCTGGTATTCTTTGCTTTCAGCCAAGACCCAGCTGACATCAGTAATAATACGGCCTTAAGTGTATAAGATGGTGAGGCTGGCACGCCGAGACAGGATTCAGATCTGTCATCCATAAGGTCGCTATGAATCATACTTGACTCAACACCACCTAACAACAAAGTCCTCCTGTAGCTCCACCATTTCTCAGCTAGTTACTAAGAGCTTACTATGTCCTAGGGAGCTCTGGAGGCATAGTCTGTAGGGACTATGCTAGCTCATAACTATCTAACTAGCTCATAACAAGTTTGCTTTCTCTGGCAGTTCTAACCTCCCCGTGGCTTCATGGGAGAAAGCTGGGTAATCTCCACCTGTGTGAGTTACAGTCTCTAAAAGACCCCCTGGAGAGTCATTTGTCAGTGGGTTCTGACTTGAGAGAAAATGTGTTGTGTTTGGGGCACTTTCCTAATTAAAAAAAAAAAACACAGCATTTGTGCCATTTTGCAGCCACAAAAGATGAGAGAACTGCAGAGAAACCAGTCAGGAGTCCGGAGGTAGTCAAGGAAGTGGACCTTCCAGTGACTTTTTACTTTGTTGGGTAATAAGTGTATAACTTCTAGGCTAACGTATCCCAGGTAACGATGACTATGGACATCTGATTTGTTCAAGAAGCTTTCTTCAATTTCTATGCTTTAAAGCCTCTGACAACGATGTATTAAGTGCATATTAATATACCAGCTTCTGATGGGAACAGCAGTCATTAATTCAGACATGTTTATTGAACACCCGCTGTGTGTCATGCTCTGTTAATAAAAGAATTATGATGTGATCCTGCCTTCAAGAGGCTCGCAGATGGAGCTAGACATACACACAGGAATAAGTCACAGCACGATCTACCTGGAAGGGTTGGTTGCAAAAATAGGAACAAGGTTCGTGAAGAGCACAAAGGACATGTCTCATCCTTTCTGCAGAAGCTCAGGAAGGTTTCTTTAAGGAGAAGATGATATTTGAGTTGATGGCTTAAAACAATAAAAGAATTTAAGTCATTCAAGAGCAGGAGAGGAGAACAAGGTTAGAAATGGAGGCAAGAAATTGCCAAGAATTCACTCCCTCACTTTTGCCATCAAATTAGAACCGATTTGTAAGTGAGGCTCCAGGATTTTTAGAGATCACTACTCACACGGGAGGAGATTTCCCATCTTTATCTTGCAGGGCAACTGGTGGATTCAAACTGCCTGCTTTGGGGGTGTCAGTGCAACACCTTACCTATTAGGTCATACGAATTCCCTTTGCCAAGACAAGGAGTTGGGAAAATGACTTGATGCGCCCAGAGCCGGGGTAGGAAGAGAAGGCATGGTGAAAAATGAGGCAAAGAGTTTCCTTTCAAATAAGGGTATGGCAAGACTGGCTGTGGTGGGGGGAAAGAACTCTGACAGCAGCTCTTGCAAATAGTAAATAACACCTCGGATCCATTCCTGGCGCACCACTTTGGAAACACTCACACCCAAGAACAAGAAAATGAAGAGTGCTCTCCACGTGATCTTGGCTTACCTTCTCGCCCTTTCTTCCAGGACGTCCATGTCCATCTGGACCGAAGAGACCCTGAGAAAATGACCTCAAGTGAAATACAGTCATCCTGATGGACACCCAGACTGGATAATGTTACCCACACCTCTGGATTTATCGGGAATATAATGTAAGTAAAACAGGATGGGAGTGGAGAAAGTTGGGAGCTACACACCCTTGGAATACATACTCAGATGAGGAGACAGAAGAGTTTAAAAAGGAAAGATAAAAGTGTTATTTATTATTTTGGCCCATCTTTAATGGCACTCTATATGTTAGCAAGATGATACCATGGTTGTAGGAAGGCACATTACTGAGCAAGGATCTCTTTGGATAAATGTGGTTTTCCTATAGGGCAAAGTAGCAAATACAAGTTGTTTCTGAATCGGTACATTTCCAGAGATAAAGACAGATTTTAAGAGTCTGTCTTTGTCAAAAGGTATTGGTATAAAAGCCATGTGCACAGTGGTCAAAGCAGAGTATATACACCAACACACATCTGAGTTTTTTTCACACTTCCAAAACTGGTTGTATGAGTAATGTTCTGCAAGTTACTCAACTCTCTATGTTTCTGTTTTCTCATCTAGAAAACAGAAATAATCACAGCATCTACCATAAAGTGTGGTTGTCAAGACAGTTAATTGAGATTTTACGTAGAAAGCGCTTAGCATAAAGAAAGTGCTGGATAGATAATAATGATGACGTTGATGGCAGAGTAATGGTGGTGCCATCGGGGCTCATCTGATGGCTTAGTGAGCAGGAAGCCGTGCCGCTAATCCAAAGGCAGGTCGTGCCGATCCACCGGCTTCTCTGTGTCACAGGGACGCGCAGTCTCTTCCCAACAATCTACAGCCTCTGAAAACTCACCCACGGGTCGTCCATGAGTCAGTTCTAGTCTGGCAGCAGTGAACAGGAAGAGAAATTGATAGTGATAGTGACGGTGACAGCAGTGGTAATAGTGGTGGAGATGATGGTGACGATCATGGCAGTATGGGGTGTAGTGAGGGGAGAGAGAGAGTCCTGAAGATGGTGGGAACAGTAACGTCGGCTGTGGTGGTGGTAACGTCATAGTGGTCATGGTGGTGGCAGTGGTTGTGGTAGGGATGGCATCAGTAGAGGTGATGGTGATGGTGATGATGATGGTAGTGATGGCGGTGTTGGTTTTGATGGTGGTGGTGACGATATTGGGGTGATGGTGGTGATGGTGGTGGTGGTGATGATAGTTATGTTGATGGTGATGGTAGTAGTTATGGTAATAATGGTGGTGATGGCGGTAGTAGTAGTGGTGGTCATGGTGATGATGGTGATAGTGATTGCGGTGTTGGTTCTGATAATGGTGGTGATGATGATGGGATGATGGTGGTGGTGATGGTGGTAATTATGGTGATATGAAGATGATTATAATGGTGGTGGTGATGGTGATGGTTATGGTGATGTGGGCATAGTGGTGGTGGTGATGATGATAATGGTCATAGTGGTAGCAGTGATGGCGATGGTGATGATGGTGGTGGTAGTTATGGTGGTGGTGGTGGTGGTGATAGTGATGTTGATGGGGTGGTAGTGATGGTGGCAGTGACAGTGATGACGGTAGTCATAGTGGTTATTGTGAGGGTGGTGATGATCATGATGGTGGTGGTATCGGTGGTGGTGGTGGTGGTGGTGGCAGTGACGGCGATGACAGTAGTCATAGTGGTTATTGTGAAGGTGGTGATGATGACAGTGGTCACAGTGATGGTGGTGGCAGGGATGTGGTGGAGATGACAATGTCAGTAAGGTGGTGGCAGTACTGTGATGGCAGTGGCAGTGTTATGGTAGGTAAGATGTTGATGGACATTATAATGACTGAAAATTTTATGATATTACTAGGGATCTTAACACCTTCACATCCAGATCACAAGCTTCTTGTAAAATAGAATAAATTTGGAGCATTTAAAGTAGTTTGGTGTTTTGTTTTATTTTGTTTTGTTTTGTTTTTCTGAACAAATCAAGAAAAAAAGGGGAAAAAACAAACCTCGGATGATTTTCTTTTGCTTGGCTAGAAAAGTAAAAAATGAGTTGTCTGGAGGACAAGGATGGACATGAGATACACCTACTGTCACTCAGCCTTCTCCCCAGGTTAGAGCACTCACAGCCTCCACACCGCCACCCGGGGGACACAAATCGTGTGTTTGGAGATTTCGCTCCCTAATAATTCTAAAGTAAATATTCCCAGAAAGACATCCTCCTCAGCATTGTCTCACTGTCTGTCCCAGGCGGAACTTAACCTGTTAACAGGGTTAAGTTCCGCCTGGGACAGAAACCAGGGTTGCACTATTTTAAGTAAAAAAAAATTGTAGTGAAGAGCAACTGTCAGCGTCACCCCTGACTTTCCAGGGTGCAGATGGAAGGCATCATTTGCCTGGATTCTCTTTGATAGCAATGCTATTCTGTAAACATTCCTCTTCCATATGAAGTTTAAAGCTTTTTTAACATGTTTCTGTTTCTCTCTTTGCCCTGCTTTTCCCTCCCCTCCGCCCCCCAAAATATCATTTTAGTTCACAGAAACTGTAGTTTCTTCTCAACTTCAAGTGAAAGAAATGTCTGAAAGGAACTACTAAGAAGGTGATGTAAGTTGGTATTATAAAGCTAATGCCAATAAAGTGGACTGAAAGTACTTGTAAAACAATTTACCCTAAAGTTTGGAGTGAAGACCGTGGCAACAGCCCCATTCTGTCCTTGGAAGTTATCTGTTGGACTGAATCTTTCTAATACCTGCTCATCCAAGATCATGCCTACATTTGGGGACTCAACTCCATGCACAGTTTGATAGACTACAGGTGCCTGAGCACCTATTTCTACGAGGTGCAATGTTTGTAAACAAGTGTGCTCTGGGTAAACAGAAGTGGCTCGTTACCACTTCCTTCTTCAACCATGAGAGAAGGCAAAACAAATTCTGAACCATCTCTGAATTCCTCATACAGGATATGAATTCAAGAATCTTCCTCATCTAGCGTTCTTTCCTTTTTTAGCTAGAACACAGCTTTAATGATCATGTCACATTTGCAGTCCCAAGTATAATTCAGTATATTATTAACCAAGAGTATTAGAATCGAACATGGAAAAAAGAAGTACATAACAATGAATGAATTCATCCAAAACTCCAAACTGGTGAAACTGGACTTACAGGCTGTCCCCTCGGTCCTTGTGGTCCCCGTGGGCCTTCTGCTCCCACTTCTCCAAGCTCCCCCTTAGATGAGAAAACACACAGAGAAAAGGCTTTCCTTCCTGAGCGATAGTGTGATTTGGTGCCATTTACTTGGGGCTGGTAAAGTTGTTCTTTTCAAGTCCTATTACTGTCATCTCGTGTGAACTAGCTCAACCTGGGCTTCAGCAAAAGTAGATAACTCACAAACACAGAGCTGGTTTGCTCATTGCCCTGAGGCTGGAAGTGAAGCCCCAGGATTTCAAAAACTAGGAGTGTCGCTCAAGAGACAAGGTTTATGGGAGCTTTCAGACTAAGACTAGAAACAAATGTCTGGTGACCTGTTTCTGAAATTCAGCTCCCAGAGAGCTGGCGTGGGACGGGACATTTCTCTTCTGTTTTGCACAGGGTCACTTTGAGTCAAAGTCAAGTTGATGGCAACTAACTCCTTCTCCGAATAAACACAGTAAAGATTTTTATGTTGAAAATGGGTGATACCAGGAGGCAGCACCAGTTACAGAATTGTATATGCCTGTGTCTTTTCCTAAATCTGTGGGGCGGGGGGTAGGTAATGAACCTACACTTGTGTCTGTCGCTTTTGTTCACGTGTGTGTGTGTGAATTTCTCTTTCTACGTGTCCATCTACGTGGCTTCTCTGCTCCGCATACCTCTACCCAACATTAAATAATGGAAAGTCTTTACCAAGCGCATCAGAAAGTCATGGTGGAAACTACCCCTAAGGAGAGCGGCGAATGAACCCTCAGGGGCTCCTTCAAGTCGAGACAAGGAAGGGTGCGTCCTCTACCTTTTACCTTGTTTCCTCTTGGTCCGGCTTTTCCTTTAGCACCTTTTGGCCCTGGGTTCCCGGGATTCCCCTGCAACAAGACCACAGACAGCGTCACCTCCCGGCTGACTCTCTGGCTCTTTCCCTGTGACTGCCAAGTCGGAACTGGTGGTATTCTCACGCGTCCCCTGCAGCACAAGCTCAGCACTGCATCTCTTATAGGCATTCCCTTTCTCCCCAACATGGCAGATCTACGACACAGTCACACTTGGACTCTGGACGGGGAGGGGGCAGTGGATGAGTGATGTGTTCTGTGTAATGACCATGTTCGCCACATGCTGAGAACTGGTGTAATGATCTGACTGCTACAAAGAAAAACATCGTTTGATTAAGAGAGTGGGACACTGTGGTAAGGAAAAACTCTTCACATGAGAATGCAGGGAAGGTGGCAGCGTTCCAGACCGGGAGAGAACAAGGACTGGACGATGGCTTCGGCCATTCTGGCGTTTCTCCTTCCATCCTCTCAGTGGGGCGTTTATTCCTGTGCCTCACATCGTGCCACTCTGATTTCAAGACCATCTTCAATGGCCCCTTCTTCAAGACATCCTTCCTGATGGCCTGTCTCAATCTAGACTGACCCTCTGCAAAGGCCCTGGGGGTGGGATGGTGCAACAGAATAGGGGCTCATTTCAAGCTCTTCTTATCTGAATCACAAATGATCTAATCGCTCTGACACTGTTTCCTCAGTTACCACTGAGTCAGGAGGAGAGAACTTCCCTGATCCAAACCATGATATTTCCATTGGCTTCCTGTGCGTCCGAAAGTCAGGCAGTGACTCAGGAAGATCGAAGGAGAATCGATGCCTTTGAACTGTGTGCGGCAGAACAGTACTGATCATCCCACGGACTGCCAAAGGGACAGAGAAACCCACCTTGAAGGAAGTGCCCGCGGAGCGCTCCAAGAGAGACGCTGTCTCTCTCACTTTGGCCGTATTTCCAAGAGCAACAAGTCCTTGCTAGAGAGAGCATGTCGGGAAAGTCTGAGGGTCGGAGACACAGAGGAAGACCCTCTGGGAGAGGGATTGAGACAGTGACTATAACAATGGTCTTGAGCATATCAGATTGGGACAGGTCAGGTTCAGATCTGCTGTTCAGAGGGTCACTACGAGTCAAAGCTGACTTGACAACATCTAACAACTACAGCAGCACACACTTACAATGAATACACAGGCGACTTCTGTACCTTCTCCTACACCACAGCCCATTAGGAGCTTTTGCTACAGATCCTCGAGACCCACTGATCACTGTACTCCCATAATAGAAATAGCGTAAGGGGGGCACGTAACTGGCAGTCAGTGTTCACCATGTTATTTGGCAGAAACTCCTAATATTCACAAATCTCAGAACAAACAGGGTAACTGTGCATTCTTCTCTGTCCAAGACCCCTCAGTGATATGTGAATGAGCCGTATAACAGGCTGTGGCCACAGACGTCTACCCACCTGAGGACCTGGTGAGCCTCTTTCCCCAAAGACTCCTGGTGTCCCGTCTCCTCCTCTCGGTCCCTGGTTCAAAGATGAGATTAAAATTCAGCAACTCTTTGTAGAACTATTTCTAATCCACAAAGTCTTGTTGGGGCCCACTGGATGCAGAAGTCAGGACCCCCTGATGCAGCGCGCCCCCCACCCCCACCCCAATGCAGCTGGAGTCCAGTCTCAGGAGCTCTCCGAAGCACCACAGTGCCCCCTCTCCACACTCAGTCCAAAGCCAGGGAAGGAGTCTGTAGCGTCTGAGCTTGGCAGCAATCTCCCCCCTGTAAATCCAATGAACACTAAAGTCTAAGAGGCTTGCTTTGATATTTAAGTCACCCACTAATTTTCATGACTCACGTGGGGATGGGATGGATTGCTAGGCTATTGATCTCTCTCCTTTAAAAAAAAATCAATCCTTTCCTTAGAGATTTAAGCGCTGAAGATAAGAGAGTGCTTATGATTTTTCATGAGCCAAAGGTGCATTTAGGTGGCCTGATCCACCGGGCGCATTGCTGGGTAGTTGCTAATTTCATCACACACACACACACACACACACACACACACACACCAGCTTCTTCTACTTTAATGACTTCTGTCACTTTCATATTTCTCCAACTTTTCTGAGAAAGGCTTTCCTGTTAGACGCATTGATCGTAGCTTTTATTCTCCTGCATGGGGTATTGATAGCTATCTATTCAAGCAGACCATCCTGCCCACAGCCCAGTGGGAAGGTGAGAATTAGGGAGTGGTTTAATCAATTCTCGTGCTCGTGGTCCCCAGCAGGCCAGGCTTCCACCCCACACAGCGCAGCAGGGTAATAAAGTGGTGATGGAAGAGACGACAGGGGCACAATAGAGACCGACAGTCCAACCCAGGATTAAGCCAGCAATCAAGAGAAACGGGGCAATATCTATCCTTCAGCTATTTCTCTCTGATCCAGATAATACTTTCCATCACGAAGCAAACACCATCCCTAATTGCAGTCTGACTTCTCATCTCTTTCATCAAGTCCAAAGCCAGTGAGGACTTTCTCGGATGATTAGCTGACACACCTGTGATATTTAACATTCTAGAGAGACTGAGGCCATGTGTCAATAAAAATTGGTATTTCAAAGTTTTCTGTTCGCCACCGCTTCTTAACAACAAATTGACTTTTCTAAACGAATGTCCTTGGAAACAGCAGCCAATAGATCAAATGATGTCTCGGACCGATGCAAATCTGCTGCCATGGAACCCTTTTAAAGTGCTGAAGAGCAACACGACTTCTGTTGTGGTTTGGGGGGTTTTTCAGTTCAATGAAAGAGAGACTTTATTGAGGGCCCAGGGCCATGGGGCTCAGAAGGAGCCAAGAGGAACCAGTGAAGAGGGGTTCTTCTTTGACCTTCTTCTTGGGGCGTGGGTTGTTGGGGTGCCCACTCTTCTTCTGGTGGCAGTTGATGGCACGGGGCTGCAGGCGAGCATAACACTTGCGGCAGACCATCTTGTCAGCAGAACACTTGCGGCAGACCATCTTGTCGCCGTTATACCTCTGGGTCAGCTGGCGCAAGGAGGCTCGGTGATACCTCCACGCAGACGCAGGACCGCCTGCAGGGTGGACTCTCCCTGGATGTTGTAGTCTGAGAGTGTACGGCCATCCTCTAGCTGTTTGTCCACAAATATCAGACACTGCTGGTCAGGGGGGATGCCTTCCTTGTCTTGGATTTTGGCTTTGACATTCTCAGTGGTGTCACTGGGCTCAACCTCAAGAGTGACGGTCTTGCCAGAGTCTTCATAAAGATCTGCATCTCTGCGCCTGCTGCTCGGCCACCTTGTTTAAGAGAAAGAGTCAAGACTGACTTTTTATTTTAAAAATAAAAGTGTGTAAAACATTCCAGAAGGGCTTACTGATTGCAGCTTGAGTCATGCTGAGAGGATTCTGAAAGAATGGAGTGTGGAGCTACATTTCAGATATCACTGAGTTGTTCACTGGGAGTTCTGCTGAGTTTGCTGAGGGCCAGAGCCTGGCCGTAATGATCTGGGATTCCCAGAGTTAGCAGAGGCCCTGTGCACAGCAGAGACTCATAAAAACACTTTGCGGATGGTTTTCCCCTGCCAACTAGAGTTCCATTTTAATGAATTAAATATCATCCCAGAAATGCAAAGACATCACTTCAGAGACAGTAATTAAGAGCATAGACTTTGAAGACTGACTGCAGGAGTCTGAATATCAACTTCATTTCTCACTAGCTGTATGACCATGGTCAGTTTAATTAACGTCTCCACTAATAACCTCTCTGTAAAATGAAGGAAATAACATCCCCTTCGTGGAGCCGTGGAAGGATCAAGTGAGTCAACACAAGGCAAGTGCTTAGGGAATTATCTCAGGCAGAGTCATCTCAGGAAGTGGGTCACACCTGCCCAGCACAAGTGCCGTCCATCTTGCTTTGGGAGGGTCTGGAAGGGAAGAATTCTGTGCCAATTTGACTAACATTAACTTCTTCTTGTAGTCTGACTTGCTAGAATCTAATTTAATAAAATGTCTTTAGCATTCAAACAAAGTGCACTGATACAACCTGTGGGCCTGGATACCCGGACTCTCCCTGGGAACCCTGTTGGCCGGGTTGTCCACGCACACCCTGTCAAATTAGAGAAAGCACAGTTAGTCCTCTGGGAATTGTCAGTGCTCCGGCCAGAGGCGCTGCTCCCCTCCAGGATATCACCTGAAAGCCCCAAGTCATCGTTAAGCGCCCTGGGTGGACGGCTACTCCTGGGGACCCGATAAACAACAGACATGAACCTTGCCCCTCCTGGACTGTCTCCCCACCTCCCACATGCTCTAGCCCATCGTTCCAGCCAGCAATCCTATTTGATGAGCTGGCTCAGCTCTGGCTGAAGGTGGATTTGGGGAGGAAGTGGGACTTTTCCACTCAGGTTGGGAAAATGGAAGACCACGGACTACTGTCTTTCCCAGTCCTTGCCTAGAGCGTCCCATGTCTTGGTTATTAACAGGAATGGAAAATGTTTCATTTTGGAATGAACAGATGTCTTCCGTTCACCTCTGTCTCTCGGCCTGTTGTTGTTAGGTGCTGTTGAGACAAGTTCGAGTCATAACAACCCTGTGAACAACAGATCTGAGCCTTGTCCTGTCCTGTGCCGTCCTCATCTTCCCTGACACACTAGAGCCCATCGCTGCGGTCACTGTGTCAGTCCATTTCACCAAGAGTCTCCTTCTCCTTCTCCTTCACTAACCCTCTACCTTTCCTAGCATGATACCCTTCTCCAGGGACCGCCTTTCCCAGTAACACTCTCAAAGTATGTGAGCTTCGCCTCAAGGAGCGTGGTGACTGCACTTTCTCCAAGACCTATCTGTTTGCTCTTTTGAAAGCCCACGGGACATTCAGTACTCTTCTCCAGCACCACAATGCAAAGGCATCAATTCTTATTCATGATGTTGTTTCATGTACCATTGAGTCACCTGTAACTCATAGTGACCCTACGTACAACAGCTCTGAAGCCTGCCCAATCCTGAGCCAGTTTCCCTGACTCTGACAACACTTACTCCCATTATCCCAGGTACTGTGACAATCCATCTCGTCCAGGGTCGTCTTCCCCTGTGCTGTCCCTCCACCCTTCCAAGCATGATGTCCTTCTCCAAGGACTGGTCCTTCCTGGTCACATGCCCAAAGTATGTGAGAAGAACTTCAAAGCTTCAAAATCATTGTCTCCAAGGAGAAATATGGTTGCACCCTCTCCAGGACAGACCTGTTTGTTCTATTGGCAGTCCATGGTATATCCAATACTCTTCTGCAGCACCACAGCTCAAAGGCATCGATTCTTCTTCTGTCATCTTTAATCATTGTCTAGCTCTCTGATGGATAGCAAGTAACTGCAAGGACCATGGCCTGAATCGGGTGCATGTTGTTAGGAGGGGCTGTTCCTTGGAGAGGGGCATCATATTTGGAAGTGGAAGGTCAGTGAACGAGATGAAGACCCTCAGTGAGATGGATTGGTACAGTGACTGCAGAAGTGGACTCATATGTCAGAGATGTTGAGAATGGTACAGGACAGGACAGACTTGAGATCTGTTGTTCACAGGGTTGATATGAGTTGTACTTGACTCAATAGCATATATCAACAACAACAACTCCATCACCCCATCTTGTGTTATGACTGCCATCAAGTTGTGACCAAAGTAAGGGTACTGTTACATTATTCTGCTTTGTAAGCATTTCTTTCCAGACTTATACATAGAAATTTTTAAAAATAAATGTAATTCAACACTTTAAATCCCTTCACAACTAAATCATACTCTGCTTTGAATTTCTTGTTGACACTATGTCTTTTCAATAACAGAAGATATCTGAAAACAAGGGGAAATTTTTGAGGTAATATGGATTTTGATACAGTCACATGGGACACATATGTCCCAAGGGAGCTCTGGTGATGCACTTGGTAGGTACATGCATTTCTTCGGATGCACGCAGTTACACAGGTCTCTGCCAGGTCGTGGCATGAATTACTATTACAGCAGGGACGGCAGCAGCTTCCCAAGCTCAGAGACTCAAGACGCTGGTGGGCAACATATGTCTTGCTGGTCACATCATACAAGAAATGTAAGTCATGTAAGACTTGGTTTAAAAAAATCTTTACCTCTTTTTAGAAACTGTGTTTTATTTAGTGCCAAGCGATAAAACATTTCGTACTGTTTCATACTTGGAATTGTTCACTATCCGAGCATCTCCAAGAGAAAGAGGCTCCTCATTCTCTTTTATATCTAAGAGGATGTTTTGCATCCTGGCCCCTCTCTCCATCCCTGACACACACACAGGCTCAGAGGTGCAGGGGATCAACCTCTGACTTCTCCTCCATCCCTAAGTCATGAAAATGCTTAGGGTGGGAGGAGGGGTGGAGGAATAACTCCCGCAGAACATGATCAGATTGCATCAGAGAGACGTCGCCATAATCAACTCTTACTTTGCATAAAATTTCTCAGAAAGCAGCATGATATTTGAAATTAGACATTGGGGTTGAGTCCTGCAACATTAATTGGTTCCTGACAAGTTAATTCACTCTATAGACTAAACCTAAATTTCTCCTTATCTCTGTTAAAAAGTGATACACTATGCTCAAAAATCTGAGAGTTGTGCGAAGATTTGTGTGAAGTGATAAAAACAAACTTGCTAAATAAATGTTCAGTAAAATCAGATGCCTCCTGCCTCACCCTCAAACCATACTTTCCCCTTCTGGAAATGGCAAGATCTCCTTCTATTCAATTCATCTCGTGATTATGAAGGGAGTTCTGGTGGCCTGGTGGGTAAGATTTGTGCTATCAACCCAAAGGCACGAGGTTTGAATCCACCAGCTGCTCTGAGGGAGAAAGATGGGTTATCCTTCCGTGTATCATTTACAGCCTCCAAAAGCCCACTGGAAAGTCAGCTGTGAGTCGTTTCCAACTTGAAGACAGTCTGAGTTTGAATAATTATGAAATCCGCTTGTGTACTCATAGGGAGTCCCACCTCAAATGGAAAAAGGTAGTTATTTCAGAGAGTAAAGCCTTTCTCTAGGTTTATCCTTCTTGTCTTTCGGAGTGAAACGTTATGACAAAGAGCAGAGAACAAAAACAAGGAACCCTGTAACCTTTCCCTTCTTCATAGAAAAAGGACTTATGTGATCATCACCACCCACTGACCCTCAAGTAGCTGCGGACAGCCCAGCTGGCATTCTCTGGACCTCAAAGAGAACTATTTCAAGCAGCCCCATATGTGCAACAAAGGGCACCCCTTCCAAAAGGCACTGACCTTCAACCCTGGCTGGCCTCGTCTTCCTCTTGGCCCCTAAAATAGAAGGAAAGAAGAAAGCTTAGAGAAGACAGCAAACCCATTTCCACTGCAGACCACTCCACCCCTCCACAGGACAGCAGAGCATGTCCCACAAGCACTTGTACCTACGTTGTGGCCGATGTCTCCAGACTCCCCTTGAAGCCCGTCCAAAGTAGAACTTCCCTGAAAAGTAAGAGGCAGAGGTGAAGTCAGCTTAGATGTCCAAGCACGTCTGTGTCTATTCCCCTGACCAGCCTTGCTCAGGGTGGGCATCCCTGGGCAGGCATGGCTTCCCAAGCAAGAGTTTAAAATCCATTTCTCAGTTGCACTGGTCACATTTCAAGTGTCCAGCATGTGCTGTGGCTCCCTTACGAGACAACACAGATCAGAACCTTTCCACGATCTCAAAAGGTCTCATCAGTTAGCGTCACTCTAGAAGCACGTGACAGTTAACCTTAGTGTTTCAAAATATCGATGTTGCAACCATCCTTCCCCAAAGATTCCTTTGACACCTGCTGGGATTTCTCCACGCGAGACATGCTCTTTGACAAGCCGTGCTTCATTTGAAACTCTCACACTTCCCTTCCTCCTGCATCATTTAGGGTCTGTGGTGACGGAGGGTGATTGCTATATGCTCAGGACTGACAGGATAACAAGGGGGAAGCTTAGACATAGTCACCAGGATGGAACTTTGTGGTGCTTTCCCTGTAGAAGATCAAACCCAACCTGAACCATTGCCATGAATCAACTCATGCAGCCTTCCATGGATTTCAGAGACAATAAATCTTAACTGGAGTGGTTTCTCTATCTTTGCCCATAGAGTGACTGGTGGATTCAAACCACTGGCCTTTTCATTAACAGCCCAGCATGTATGGCACCCCCTGCACACTTCTCCCAGACTCTTTCCCACAGACTGAGACATCAGGTAATGTGTGTTTGCTAGAGAAAGGACAAGCCCATCTTTTAGGAGAAATGGAAACCATGTTAGATCCAACGTCAGGATATTTGGGATTTATTTTGTGAAATCACATATTAACTCAACAAAAAGAAAAGCTAAATTTGGGAAAGAGCTTGAAATACAGAAACAAAAACAACTTTATAGGCAAAGCTGTGCATACAGCTGTTATTTATAATAGATTAATCTCTGAACCAGTGTAAATAGTAACCAACATGAAGAAATGTTAATCAAATTACAGTCAATTCTGGTTGTAAGAACTTGTTGGAATAGTACACAACAATTAAAAGTGATATTGATGAAATATTTCCAAGCCAGAAAAACGTTTGTACTATATGTGATTCTTTTAGAGTATGCTAAGTTGTGTGAGAGAATGATTTATCCTCAGCATAGTGAAAGGAAAAATGATGATTGTTGTTTAATTTTATATTGTACTAGAACATTTTTAATATGCTCAGGGAACTCTCAGGAGTTTCTTGGGGACACAAAAGGCTGAGTTCTACTACTAGTCAAAAAAGTTCAAATCCAACTAGACATCATTTCAGAGGACAGGTCTGATGATCTACCTCCTGAAAGTCACAGCCTGGACTGGGAGGGGTTTGACCCTGGCACATCGAGGGTCCCCCAAAATCAGGATCAACTCAGTCAGTCAACTCAATCAACACAGTCAGGCATCTCACAGCAGGCACTCCCCACCTGAATTTCTCATGATTCTATCATCTTAGGAAAATTCAGTAAGCTCCCAGATTTCTATTGCAAATTACTGATGATTTCCCCCTCTTTACATTTGAATTTTCTAAATTGTCAAATTTCTCTAGTATATATTTTATAATGCAAATTTTTAAAGTGAATGAGTTGTAATAGAAGAAGGTGCACCTGATCCAAATCATGATCTTTTCAATTGGTTCTGATACATCTGAAAGGTGGACAATTAGTGTGAGCGAAGAAGAACTGATGCCTTTTAATTATGATATTGTTGTTATTGTTGTTAAGTGCCATCAAATCATAGATGACTCATAGCGACCCTATGAACGAAAGACCTGAATGCTTGTACAACTTTCATCGTTTCTCCACGTTTATAGAGTTTCTGGAGGCAAGCTATTTTGGAAGCAGATGCCACTCCTACTTCCAGGCTTGTTTTAATCAGGGAGCTCCATCAAACACTGTCCACCATAGGTGACCATTATCACATTGGACACATCAGTGTCACAGTATTCAGTATCCCAGCAACCATGTGTTACCTCTGTACAGCAAGTGGACAGACCAGGGCTATGCCACAAGACATGGTTTAAAGTCCATGAGCTCAAGCATTCCCATTGGCTCTCACACCCAAAATTGCCCGCCTGGAGCCAGAGTACTGAATATCTCAAGGACTGTCAACAGAATAGACAAGTGTGTCTTAGAGGAAATGCAGTTGGGATGCTGCTTAGAAGCCAAGATGCTGGGTGTGTATCTCATATACTTTGGACATGTTGTCAAGATACCATGCTGGGAGAGGTAGAGACCCAGAGAACCAGAGGAAGACCCTCGCGGAGATGAGTTAACACAGAGGCCACAGCAATGGACTTGAACATGACAGAAATCGTAAGGATGAGCAAGCTTCCGATCTCTTGTTCATAGGGCTACTATGAGTTGAATCAGCTTGATGGCACCTAACAAGAACAATGAAATACAGGAGGTGATTGTCATGAACTTGATCGTGTCAGCTGGACCAGGCAGTCACGTTACTGAAGCAGGACACAGTCAACAAGATCAGGTTGCGTCTTGTCAATATCCTTTGAGACATAAAAAGTATAAACAAGCACGCAGAGATCTGAGGGTCCTCGGTATGGGTAAGGAAGAAGAGCTGAGAGGGGAGTGTCTTTTTGACCCAAGGTCCTTGCACTAAGAACCTCTTCAGCTCTGGAAGTTTGATGTCAAGAAACATGGAGATCTCCCAAAGGATACGCCAGACCTACAAATGCTAACTCAGACTGGGACTTCCCACAGAGCTGGAGGAAGCCTAGCCCTACATCGCACCTTCTACATTTGGGACTGCAGCGCAGCTTCTCACCACTGTGCCACCAGAGCTCCCTGGCCTTCTACATTTGGACTGTGGCCTCTTAAACAGGGAGAAAACAAATGTCTATGTGTCAAAGCCATCCACATCAGATAGTTATCGCAGTTACTGTTTTATTAAGAGTCTAGATAGAAGAATTCTTTCTTGAGATGTTTATCATTTTCTCATTTCAAATGTAAAAAGGTGGTTTTTTGCAGCCAGAATAGTAAATAAATCATTCGAGCAGACGTTAGGGCCACAGGGTAAAAGACTACCAGGAAATTTACTGTCTCAGAAGATTGTTCCCCAGACAACTTAGCATTAGGAAGAGGAAGAAATACATTCCTGGGGCGAAATCTGATCAACACTGCCTTAATCCCATGATCAAATTCAATGTTCCCAGCAGTGGGACAGACTGATTCAGGAGTGTCCCATAGTGACTGGGGAGGGGATAGCACGTCTTAATCCCCTGCTAACATGCTTCTCTTGAATCTAATGACGGAGACGTTTAGCACGACTTGTCTGGGATGTCATGTCATGTAAACAATAACCAGTGGAGCTTTATGATTAAAGTTTTTTGACCAAAGAGACAAGACAACTAAATGCAATGCGCAAACCTTGACTGAATCCTGGAAAAACAGTTACAAAAATCGCTATAAGGGACATCTTGGAAGCAAGTAGAAGAATATATAGGCTTGATATTGTTGTTGTTGTTTACCATCAAGCTGGAAATGACCCTTGGCTGACCCTCTGGTGGGTTTTCAGAGGCAGTTAATCACACAGGAGGAGATTGCCCAGCCTTCTCCACATTTCAGCTGGTGGATTCAAACTGCGTGCCTTTGCATTGACAGTATCATTTCTTTTTTTTTTTTTCAGATTTTTGTTTAAATTGGGAAAAACATATTGGGGGTACAAGGAGGTGAGGGGACAGTATAATTTCTTACCACTAAACCATCAGCAGGCTGATTCGGCATCTTGGAGACCCTCCCTGGCAGAGGAGGGCAAGGAAGAGAGTCTGTCAAGGGTGGGTGTGACTTGGTGTGAGAGACGCCTGTCAAACAGGGCAAAGCCCCCATGCAAATCTCCACACAGAACCGACCTCAGGTCAACGCACCCCTGATACTTAGAAAAGACTGTCCCCTAGTGGCCTTCCTCCTAATAAACACTCAATAAACTCAAATTTCAGCCCTAAAAAAAGCTCAAAAGCTTCCAGGGACTGTGTCAGAACCCCTTCATGCGTGGGTCCCCTTTGGATTTACAAGACCCTAAGTCACACAAGAGGAGATCGCTGCTGCTGGTGGAGCTGTTAGATGTGAAAGTCCCTCCAGGCCAGGCCGCCCGAACTCGCACCTCTGTTACCCAAGTGTGGGCAACAGGTATCATTGGTGCCTGCCTGTGAGCCAGTGTCTGACAGTGTCAGAGGCCAGAATCGACAAAGAATACAAACCCAGTGTGGCCTGGCACTGCCCCAAACCCACCAGTGCTGAGATGGCTGATTTACTCCACTCTAAGACAGACCAGAGCCGCCCCACGGGGTTCCAAGGCTGTAAATCTTCACAGAAGCTGATGGCCTCATCTTTCTCCCATGGACCAGCTGGTGGATTCAAACTGCCTTCCTGGAGGTTAGCCGGCCTATGCTTAACCCTCTGTGCCACCAGAACTCCTTGGCACTACTCAGGAGATCCCCCAGGGGGTTATAATTTTTCTTTTCATGCACCATTCAGGGATTTTGTTTGCATGCACACTTCAAGGACAACTCTTGGCTAAAATCAACTACAAACATGAGGCTTCCTCTGTGGTTGGAGAGTGAGGGTGGGCACACGGTCTGTGAGCATGGAGCCCCCCATGTGG